GCCCTTTTGATCCATCGGGCATTTGTATGTCGGATCTTCTGGCGTGTGTGACTGCAGCCTTACTCCTTTCTACTGCTACAGACAAACACAGCTACCCATCTTGGAATAAGTAGAGTCAGTGTCTAAGGTGCCACTGGACTCCTGTTTTATTTTCCTTCAGGCTGGCAAGATGGCACTGCTATTTGAAGATGGTGCCTGCACCTGCTTGTGGGTGTCATCTAGTAATAGTCTGCTTGTTTTCTTCAGGACCATTATTCATTCATATGCAGAATTAATCAGTGAATTAAAATTCCTGCCAGGAATCAACACCTTAAATTTGGTCACAGCCCTGATTTATATGCAAACATGCATGTGCACATAGGTAAAGGAATAGTGTGGGAGACTGGGGATGTTTTATGATATTAAAGGATGAACAAACATTCTGAAAGCAGATGCTGTGTGAGAATCAGTCAGGCCATGGATATAGGGACTTGTAGGAAGAGTGTGGCTGTTTTATTTTTGCATAGTCATGAAATGATCTTTTGGGTTCATAAGATACAGCAGGCCTGCTTTTAGTGCTGTGGAGTTTGGGAATTGCTTTTTAAAGTCAAAATTTATGGATGTACTAGTTTCGGCCCAGGAATTTTTCCTTGCTAAATATATGGGGACTTTTCATTCTGGTGTAACATTTTCCACATATATTTCTCCACAGGAATTGTTTTCCAGTTGACTTCCTTGGCCTACAAACGTATCACATTAAACCCAGCCGTTTCTCCAGTATCTGTAAATTTATTAATGAGATTAAAAATGCAAATGCCAGTCCATTCCAATTTCATTTAAAAAGCCCTCCCCTGCTCAAAGAAGCCCAAAATCACAAATTCATAATCTAGAGTTTCTATCATATGCCACTCTCCCTTGGCACACAAGGGTGGACCATCCCTCTTTCCTTTTTCTTCCTCCTTGCTTGCACTGGAGTGGCATTCAGGCCTTCCAACAGAAATTAGCGGAGGTTGCCATTGACCCTGGCAATGCTTATTATTTTTGCCACAGTTCTGGTTTTTAAGGACCTGCAAGAATAGCAGTTGGGGTTATTTTTAATTCCACTGCAGCTTCTGTTGTTTGTTATCTTATGATGGGTGTTGACTGTGTAGATAAAAATGTATTTCCTTTGGACGCTAAAAAGCTGCTTCATCTGAACTACATTTTTCTGTGCAAACAAAAAAGTTCCAGCAACCCAGATTCCTTCTCCTTCTGCCTGGGGATTTTCTTCCAAGCAGTGGTCAAGTGCTACAGGTATACAAAACTGCAGAGTTAAATGATATTCACTGAATATATCTAGTTGGTTGAACAGCTATTTATTCTGTTGGGCAGCCGTGTTGGTGGGAAGCAGTGGAACAGATTTTGAGTCCAGTGGGGCACCTTTAAGGCCAACAAACGTTTATTCAAGGGATCCACTTTCGTATGCACGCACAGGTCCTCATTTTTAGTCCAGTGGACGAAGACCAACCAAGTTTTATACACAAAATTTCTTCTTCAGTTTGAGAGCCAGTGGGGGCGACGGCCAAGCCTGTATGTAACAGTGGGGCATTTTGGGGGCCCTACCCCCCAAATAACCATGCTAAAAACAATTTTGAGGAGAAACGCCCCCCCTTGCTGGCAACAGCCAGGGTGAGAGCACCACCACGGCTTGCCCTCAGGCTTCCCTCTCCCTGCCTCTTTGGAATTTTTTATTTTGGGGGGGCATCATGGGACCTGGGAAAATACAGCTCATAGGGCATTTAATTGCCTTTTGAGTTCCCTTCCACACAGAAAAGTCCTTGGACAGTGCTGGCTCTTTGGCTTGGAAATGGAGATGAGCACCACCCCATAGAGTCGGGTACCTTCAATACCAAAATTAATTTGCATGTTTCCCAAAGGCTCATGGGGATTGGAGAAGTGCTGAAGGTACCACTCTTGAGTGCCTTTCTAAGCTTTCTTGTCCCATGGAAGGGAGCTCAAAAGGCATTTAAATGCTCTCTGAGCTGTTTTTTCCCTAGGAACTGATGCGCTCACTGCCCTGTTCCTTGAAAAGAAGGGCTAGAAACTGGCTCAGAGCCTCCTCCTTTAAAGATAGGCATTCAAATTAATTTAATTAACTGTAACTTAACTGCCTACTTAAAAATTTAAATGCCCCCCCAAACAAAAAAAATCCTGGCTCATTGGAGGGCTGGGTGCTTGTGGCAATGGAACAGTAATGAGTATTGATTGGACTTCTGCAAGAAGTCCAGAGATCAAAAGCTGTTTTATTTTGCAAAAAAGTGGAGTCTAATTTTTAAATAGTTTCTCAGATGGAAGCCCAACCAGTTGTAGAGAGTTCAGGTTTAGGTCAAAATTTTGCTTGCTTATCAGCCAGAATGTGGAAGGCACAGCAATTACTCTTTCTCCAAGAAGGTTCACTAGACAGGTGTCACACAGCAATGTAGTAGTAACTACTGTCTGATGAAGTGACCCAAATGAGATCCTTGGCTGAAAAAGTGGGAGGATTGAAGGTTTCTTCCCCTTTACAAGTAAATGTGGAACCCATCATTCCAAACAGCTAAAATGTCTTTCCTCCGTGACAAAACGCAATAGCAATTCACGATGGAAGTTAAGTTACATTTCCGATTAAGCACGAACCATTCTGGATATTTTGATGGTAGTTACAAGCAGCTGTGATATGTATTTTGTTTGCACATAACCCTCTTCTCTCCAGGGACCTGCTCAGTTCCAACTGAAAGGCGGGCTTGGAACTTAGTTGTGAAGGCTTTCTTCTTCCTTCCGTGGCAAAAATTCTCTGTGTGGGAGTTGTGACCCTTCCTTGGGCCAAGAGCTAGTCCAACAGGAAAAAAGCAAAAAATTCCAAAGGATACTAAAGCATGTTAAATGCACAATGAAAAAACCTCTCAAGCCTACAGCATAACTTACAGAGGGGAGAAGCTTGTCATTCTATAAATAAAAACCATTTCCAGGGGGAAGAACTTTATATCTGAATGCCTATTAGCCTGATGCTGTTTTCTGTAATAAGCTGTAAAACTTGCATTTGATGCTGGAACGCTGAATTTTCAGAATGTTGTTGCATAATGTTAAAAGTCTAGGCAATGCATACCACTGCTTAAGAAATACATAGTATGTTCTATAAGAACTCAAAATGTTAGCAAGAATGACATCTGAGATGTCATGGGTGAGAGCCGGAAGGGGATGACGTTTATGGAGACTGACCAGTGTTGGTGGGGCTACCAGGGCTCAAGGTAACCTCATCCTGCAGGATAGGCATAGTTTTCACAGCCAGGATTGGAAAATGGGGTCTCTTTAATATGGTAGCACCTCTCTGTTAGCTGTTTGGATGTTGCTGCCAAAACCTAAGACCCAGATTGGTTAAAAACTTTTTACACAGGTGATTGGGAGAACAGAAAAGTAGTTGTCCCTTTTGTGTGTGGGTGTGTTTGACCATGGGGGGTGGGGAGTGTGAAGGACAGCCTGCTCTTTACAGATATACCCATTTGAATCTCCTAACAGGGAAGGGAGATCAGATGCTCAGGATTTGTAAGTTGCAAGAAGTTTAGCAATCTTTCCCGGTTTTGTTTCTTTGTCTACACCGCAATCCTGTAGCCTGCATTTTCTCAAGTTTTAAATAAAAAACTTTTGTTAAGAGAAAACAGTTGCCTTGATTCCTACCTATGCAGCTTGCTGTGGTTCATGTTATTGAAGCAGCCCCAGTTTGGATACTCCTCTTGGCATCAAATTGGTGGAGGGGGCAGGGATCAGGTGGCGGTAGTCTACTAGAGGGAAAGGCTCTGAACCCTGCTTAAGAGGGGGCTGAGGAACAGTGAGGGTTTCCTGCTGGGGGAAGGGGGTTCCCTAACCAAAACAACTTCCTCTGAAGCTTCTCAGCAGGGCTGGGCCTCGCTGGCTGTTTGCCTGAGCACAGAGTGAGGGGGACCTGCTGGGGGTTGGTACAGAAGTGTCCCAGAGATATCCTCCTAAGTTTGGTTTTTGATATAATATGTACATTACAAGGTGTGTGTTTATGTATATAGATAGTCAACTAAGTTTAACACTGATTTGTGTAAAAAGCTAGACAAAAGCAGTTTAACTAAAAACCTAAAGTGACAATTCAAGTCGTAATGATTGGAGGGGGGGGGAGGGCAATCATGTCCTGGTTACAAAATCACAGAAAACCAGAAAGGAATATGGTAGCAGCTTATCATTTATCAGGGCATAAGTTTTCATCACTGAGCTGCCTTTTTATCAGATGCACCACTCTGAAACTCAAAACAGTGTTTTAGTACCTGCAGTAAATCTCTGCTGGTGGAAGGAATTTATCCATGGAATGGGACTTCCCTGTCGTTGCCCCCCCCCCCCCCCCCCCCCCCATGTCCACCATACAGTCCAAAATGACCCTTGCAATGCTGGTAGGGGACCCCTAGGAACTGCATGAGGAGACAGCCCTCTACAGTGGGAGAAATGAATCAACCAAAAAACCCCCCCCCCCAGTGGAAATTGTTCACAATATCTAATATTTAAACAAAAAATGGCTTTTGGAAAGCAACAGTTTTTGCTTTGACTTGCTACACTTTTACAGGCTGTCAGTAATTTTAAAATAAATTTGTTAAATTTCAGTCTGGCAAATTCCAACATCCTTTGGCAGATGATAGAATTAGCCGTTGAGAAACTGGCTTGGTACGACAAACCTGATTTGGCAAAAGCTGGCTAAGAAACCATATTTTGGGCTAACCTGTGCCCGACCTTCCTGCTTCCTGCTGATGGGCAGTTCCAATGCCAGCATGCCAATTCAGCCCCTGCAGAATTTCTGTACCCTTCTAGCTTCTAACGCTGACATAGATGGAAAGCACAGCATGAAGGTATTTTAAGATCATATATTGTTTACAGATCATTGTTTACAGGAGTAATGCCTGCCAGATCTCATTAATATCTAAAATAAAGCAGCGCTTTTCCTGTATCCGCTTAGGCCCCCCCTACTTATGTAATATTGTAAAGAAATGCGAAGGACCCTCTATGTTAAAAAAAACACTAATACTTTCTGAATTTAGCAATTTTACGCTTTAAATACTTTAAATTATTTGTATTGTAACTGGAAAGCAAAATAAACATGGGTAGACTAAAAAATCTCTACAGAATGCCCTCTATCAGTTGGTGCCTGCAGGTAACTCAAAACACAACTCTTTATTTCAAACAATGAATTTTCTGGGACTTTGCAATGTAAAGAATGTCACAGTGGGCTGGATCCTACCATTCTGTTCTGTCCACCCATGTTTTCCTCTAAAGCAATTCCTCTTCTGCTGGTGACAGATGCTGTTGTACTGTTGTACTGCCTTCGGCACCAGAGAAACATACTACTGGTAGGCTCAGAGCCACTGGTGAGAAGAAAACATAGCAAGGAAATGTCTGTGTATCTTCTAATGGAGATAAAAAGGCTTTTAGAAAATATTTTAGAGTCAATTTTTCTTTATCTTGTTAAAAAATCAGGATAACTAAATGTATACAAATACAATCATGGCAACAGCAGACTATATTTAGAAAAGAGATTCCACAAGGATCACGGGAGATTTCAATGAACACTTTCACGCATATTTTAAGCTGCCTGCAAAGTGAAGCACTTGAGCTTCAGTTTGAAACATTTATCCCTCATTTTAAAAAAAAACTTTCTTGGGGTACTGCTGTTGTCAAAACAGTGTAATCCTAAATTATGAGCCCAGATTACCGCATCCTCAAACTACTAGTGAGGCTTGTGGTCTGTATTTTCAGGCAAGTGAACCCCCATGCTCTGCAGAATATTGGAGACTGGTCCTGCTAGTCCAGCTTGAGCGGTATAGGATTCCAGCAAATTAGCCACGAGGTTGAGATCTATATCCACAGGTGTCAAGTCAGCAGCTCCTGCCCCAAAATCATCTTTCAAATCACTGTCCGTGTTTTGAGATGAACACCCTTTACCAGGCTCAACCTGTAACAAATGCAGAGAAACAGAAACTCATGTTGTTTTTGTTAGCATTACATATAGTTTCCTTTTAAACTTAAATCCTGGTGAAAATGCAAGCTTGCTAAGCAGAGGCAAGGGCAGATTTTAGAAGCAAATCAGAAGCTTAGCATTCCCCTTTTCACTGGCTATAGAAAAGGCGGCCTCACTTAAACATACCATTCTTGGCTGGGTGGTGAAGCTTTTCCCAATGTTGGTTGATGCAAGCTCACTGTCCATTTCATCCATATATGATTTGAGGCTTCCCACTGTGTCATCCTGAGATGGCGTTTCCCCTTGATTATCAGTTTTTAGATCTTCATCACTGTCCAGGAATTCAAACTCTTCTTCCTCTTCCAAATCATCTGAGTCCAGTTCTTCTGAAGTTGTTCCTAGGAACAGTAGAACCAAAGCAATAAAGACATAAAAAAATGAATAGCCAATAAAGCTGTTGTTAATTATTTGTGTCTGGTGTGTGTGTCAATGCAAGATTTTTATGAAGACACTCTCCTCTGCCCCTGCCCAAGCAAGCTCACCTAAAATTTTGTGTAGTGCATCTGTGAATGTGTCAACGTCAAAACTGACTGGAGCCTCAGAAGATGTCCTGAAAAATAAGTTTGGAATGTTTTTGTATACATTATCATGGCATCTGAGAAATACTGTGACCTATCCAAAAGCAGCGATTCCGTACAACGCAATTATGGTGTGAGCTTCCATAAGCAGACATGTCCTTTTATCAGATCTAGGATCTTGCCTACAAAAGCTCATGACTATAATAAATAGTTCAGACTTTCAGTTGCTACAAAACTCTTACTTTTGCCAAAATGGAGTAACATGTCTAAGTCTTTAGAAAAAAAACCCCCGTGTTCCTGGGAAGCTTTGTTCATGAATGCTGGCAAGAATCCACAATATGCATTCAGAATGATAGCGTTAAAGCAATTTCACTATACTGATAAGAGAATTTTAAAAAAATACCCCCCCCCCAGGGGGAAAAAATGCACAGAGCCCAGACCCATAATGTAAGGTTTATAAGCCATTCACAACCCTTTCCCTGTCTGTGTCCTGTGGGTGGGTGTGTTTTAAATATTATTGGCAAGTTCTCTCATCTTTGTGGGAACATATGAAGTTCGCCTTTGCCATCAAAACATTTGCTAGGATTGTGCGGAAAGTTGACTTGCTGACCTGATCACAGTAGTACAGAAATGTTTACAAAACTAGGAATCCTAAAGTGACTAGGCAGTTAAATGCATACCATGGCACTTCCACTCCTTCATGTGTTGATACTTTAGACATAAATGCCTTCATGCTTTTGGTCACCTCTGTTAAGTCATAGTTCTGTTCCTCCTCATTTGAAGTAGAAGCAGACACATTGGTTCCTCGTGCCTCATTAAGGATCTGTTCCAGAGCATCTGGAGTGATCTCCAGCCAATCGTCATCTGAAAGAGCAAGATGGGGAAAACAGCTGTACATTCAACGTGAAGACTTTTGAAATACTGTGTAAAATGTGGACAAAATATATAAGAGGAACTAGTTATGGCAAGTTGTAACCACTCTGTGGAGACAGCAGGAAAAGGGATATATACCAGTTCTTTTCTGCTTCCAGGATAAACATCAGCACCACTTTCGTGTTCTAAACATTAAAAATGAGGCTATTTAGTCTTCTCCCCCCGCCCCCCCAGCCATTCCTCCCAGGGAGCTCACGTTGGGTACGTTGTTCTCCCCACCATTTTATTTTCACAAGAACCCTGGAAGGTAAGTGAGGCTGAAGACAACTGTCAGTAACTAGGGCAGAGGCAGGATATAAATGTAGAGGTCTGTTTTGCAGCCACAAACCGGTCAGCACAGTCACAACATGTTCTGTAGCATTTAAAGACACACATAGTGACTGGTCTTTGATTCCTCTGGGCAATGTTCAGTTTGACCTGCAAGAGCCACTGATGTAACCTGAACTGCAAAAATGAATGAGCACGCAAGAGAAAACAGAGAAAACGGGGGATGAGAGGTTGAGTTCTGAGATTTCAGCTTGATCCTCTGTTGAACTTTATTTTGTCCGTAACTCCTTCTCCACAAAATGTGTATTTGCCTTCACCAGTTCCTTAAGTAATACATTTCTAGATGCTCAGAAACTATATTAGGCCTACTTGGGGCTGTCATCAGGTGGTGGCATTGCTGAATCCCACACTCAACTGACACAATTTCTCCAGGGTTAACAGATCAGGCACAAGTTTTGAGACTGAACTGCTTCCTCCCCTCTTGAATACTAATTTGCCTAATTACTGCCTCTGCTGTTACATAGGACTACAGGTAATCTGATTTAAGAGAACCCAGCTAAACTCTTATTCTCCTGATTAAAACCTGGGTTCTGAAACGGGGTCAGGAACATAGCCCAGGTCATTTTAACAAGCTTGAGCAAAAGGTCACATGCAATGATGAAACTTGGCACAACGGTGAAATTCACAAGTGAAAAAGCAGCATGCAATTCTGTGGCCCGTTCCTGAATGTTTGCTCTTTGGAAATGTTATACTCACACAGAGCCATGGTCACAAAAGTCATAATGGGGTGGTGGGGAGGAACAGAATAGACAGAACAGGCAAGGAAATACTTAAGCGAGCCAATATTTATTTAGATATTTATACCCTGCTTTTCTCCCTAAGCAGCTTACCAACATCGTTCTCCCTTCCTCCATTTTACCCTCTCTCTACTCTAAGACCAGAACACAGTTTTTTCTCTGCTTTGCAAAATAAGCTTGCAGCAACCATCAGTCAGGTCACAAACCCCACGCCACCACCCTCACCGCCTCATTTTATTCTACTAAGAACACATGAAGTAGTCTTATCCTGAGTAAGACCACCAGTCTATAAGGGTCAGTATTGTCTCTTCTCTGACTTGCAAATATTCCTGGTGACATAGATAACATTTAAAATTTTCGCTGGCTTCCCATATTCATAAGATTTTTACTGTGGGAACTGTTTGTAAAAACAATTCTATGGTAAAAAAAATGTATGAAAGCTTATTTCTCAAATAAGAGAATAAAAAGAAACAAAGGATAGTCCAAGAAAAGAGGGAGAAAGACTGGGGAACAACAAGAAGGAAAGCCTGAAGGGGGAATGGAGCCACACAATGACTAAGGAAAGTACAGATGCTTAACAGGGCTTCTATGGCTGCAGCAACTATTGCAGCTATGGAAATCCCTTTCATTAGAATGGGGACAGCCAACAACAAGCTCCAACTTGCAACCTTTTTGAAAAGCTCAATGGGCACCAAAGGAAAAACTGGAGGGCGCCATGTTGGGGAACCCCGACCCCAGCAGACACAGGATAAAGGAATACGGTAAATAAGCAAGATGTCTACAGAATACCCAGTTTATGAGCTTGCACTTTCCCTCTGTGTCCTTACCATCCTCTGGTGGAAGACTGCATGCTTCTTTTCCAAAATCCTCCAAATTAGTTGCTTTTAATATAGAGAGAATTTCTTCACCTGGGCTTCTGACAACAGAACTGTCAAAACAACCCAAAAACCCACACCCCCAAAACATCAATTAAATAAAGTTTACTGAGGAAAATTTTAGAACTTTTTTGTACTTTACTACATTTACAAGCCAGAATAAATGCAGATCAGCCCATTCCCAGTTACATTTTGTGGTTTTATTATTTTTAAACTGGATTACAATGTAGCTCAAGTGATTTTAAACTGGTTCTAAAACAACTCTTGAAGGTTCTGGGGAGCTAAAGGGCTTCTGTGGCAAGCGCCAGGTGTTCCCTGATTTTTGCCTGTTCACCTAAGTGTAGTGTCAGGTGGTGGCGGCCACAGTTTACCACTAAAATAACACATTTTGGACAAAGAAGGCCCTGGGTTCAATCAGTTCAGTTCTTTATTGGTACAGTCACTTGACCAAACATGCCCAGGTTTAATCTTGGGCAACAGATGCAAGGAAAGTCCTCCCTCTACCTGAGACATCAGTTTACAAGAGTAAGCGAGATTAATCAGCCACTGGTTATGGAGGGCACACAATGGGCTCCTGCAAGAAGGCGGCTACAGGAAAGTTCCATTCCATGCTTGCAGCAGTCTGGATTCCAATCAGTATTTACAAACATTTCTGAATGAGACAATTTCATCCTTTTGCAAATGCTTTCTCCTGAACATGAAATAAGATTCTGTAGCCATCTAGCTTGCGGAATATAGAGTTGGACTCTACAGATCCACAACATGCAAGGGTCAACAAAACACACCAGTCTAGAAATTATGAAAGCAAAATCAAGGCTTCTACCTTTGCGGATTGATTACAGTCTGCTGAAAATAATTTTCTGCCATATGCAATTTGTTCAGGTACTGAGCAGAACCTTCCAGCTCACCCTATGAAATTACAAACAAAACTGTATTCTAATGTATTCCATTTTTGGTAGAGATATTTAATGGCACATCTACAAGTAGTATAACGAGAGCCTGAGGGGGGGGGGATTCATGAACTCTACAATACTGGGAGTCCACCATTTAGTTGCAATGACATATTCCTTCAGTATAAGGTGACAAAGGAATCTGCTTGCACTAGCCAAACAAAATGAGGGGATTCAACTCATAAGATTTAGCCACTGCTCAAGCAAAAGAAAATGGAATAATTGCAATGTAACACGTAATATTTTTACAGCATAGAATAAACTGTGTAATGATATAGATATATATAGAAGATGTTGTTGCAATATGGTGAGAACATGTATCAAAATTATAAATAAGTAGAAAAATACACTGGAAGGTTTCTGTCACAAGTCTGTCTAATAGCCACTTTCAGGATCTGTTTTAGTTATGAATGTTCCCAATACAAACAAGACCCTAAAGCAAACCAAAATGCTGAATCACAGGAAACTGGAGTGCAATCTTAAGAAGAGTAACATCCTTGAAAATCCACTGAAGTAAATGGGCTTAGAAGGGCTTAACTCTGTTTAGGATTGCACTTGTTAGCCAAAGGTAACAGATTCCCTTTCGGCTAGCTTTTGGATCAATTAAGAAAAGATTCTCAGTTCTGCAGCAAACAAATGCCTTACAAGCATCAGGCATACAGTGATTTGGCAAATGTCCGATAGCAGACACTGTGGTGTTTAATCTGTAATGTGCTTTCTGATTAGATAAATTATTGCCTAAACTGGTTTTGCTTGCTTTCAAATCAATACAAAATACTTCACCTTAAAATAATTATTTTTCTTCAGACTGTTCAGAAAGTTGTCCCACAGTGGACCACTGGATGCATGTTTGTTAGAATCATGAAATGCCGAACTACATTTCGAGCACAGAATTTCAAAGCCATGAGCCTGTAAGGGCATGCAGGAAGGAAACAAAAATATGTTTGTTTCGTTTATCTCTAGTTGTTAAATGTTGGGATAAACTTTCAGGCAGCAATACATCTGAAATGACTTGAAAACATACTTGTAATAAGTTGTATTTCTTGGGGGATAACGCACACTAACATTCAACAACAACCCACACTATGGCTTATAAAAGAAATGAGATGCTAAAGGATTTTGGAAAAGAAGTCTAAATAATTCTCTTTCTCCACTCAAGGCACCAGGGGACACTCTAAATGGGACACAATTATACAACAGGGACTGCATTCTGACACCCCGGACAGAGATGTTCGCTGCGCTCACGCCCTCTCCTTGCCCCTCTTCCCTGGAGTCTGCTTCCATAAACTCCAATCAGCCCAGCCACCTGCATTCAAACATTACAGCAAACTCAAACTTATTTCAAGGCTTCCCAAACCAGGAAGGTTTAAATTGTGATAGGAGGAAGGAGCAAGGCAAGCAACGAGATGTGATGTCCAAACGCAGTCAGCAATCTCTTTGGTTTGTCAACTAAGTGAACACAATTATGAAATAAGGAAAACATCTCATGAGTATTCATTACATGTCACACTTCTATATCAGGCAACCATAATCTTATCTTTGAAACACGACATAAAGGGAATATGCTTACCAACTTCATGCCCAGCTCATATGCTTTGTAGTCAGGATGTGAACGAGGAGGCAGTGAGTACCCACTCCGTCTGTCTGGTATGAAAGACTGCTGCACCTTTTACAGACACTTTGTAAAAGTAACCTGAAAAAAACACATTTTTAAAAAATTATACACACTTGCGTCATTCTCACGTCTGTGTGAATTTACTTTTACTCATATTTACAAGTTGTTTTGGAAACTAGAGTGGGGTGCGGTTCTGCAGAAGTGCAGCAGCATCCTAAGACCTGTGTGAGCTACAGAAATGTTGTATGCAGCATCCAGATTCACCAAATGCTCCAAGATGCGATGACATAAAGCTCACCAGGGCTACATTCACACTGCAGCATCCTGGCACTTTTTCTGAATGCACAGAAATGTCATGCCTGATCCCAAAGGACTGCCTGCAATCTTCCGTTCACTCAGCAAGACTTCCCAGGGACTCCTGTACAGACCTCAGATGCCACAGAAAACAACTCCTGAACTTTGGAGTGTCATCCGGCAAAGCATGAGGGGATACATTCAAAGGTGAAAAATTACCAAGGGCCCCACCTTCCTCACAACAGGGACCAAGAGCCGCTTACAACATTCTCCTCTCCATCATTTAAAATTCCCAGCTGCAACCACGTGAAGTAGGTCAGACTGAGCGTGACTGGCCCCAGGTCACCCAGCAAGCTGCCAGGCCAGAGTGATCTGAACCAAGGCGCCCCAGATCCAACACTGTAACTCCTACACAACACTGTATTTAAAAAACTGCAGGACCATTAGGATCCTGGTCCCTGGTTATTTTATGAAATAACATGTTTTCAGTCTTCTGTTGCACTACAGTTTCAGCTGAAATCAAGAGAGCTTCTCACAGAAATGCATCCCAGTTCTGTATCTCAGGTAGTGTCATAAGAACCCGATCCCATGACAGCATTCAAAAGTCATAAATGAAACTGCATGATCAACATGTGATTATGTGACAGAATTAGTAAAAAAGCTGGCTCAGCGTAGCACCATCACTTACTGAAGTCATTATGCGTGTTTCGGGAGGGAACACTTTGAAAACGCGGCATGCTTTTAAGTCAATGGGGTCTCGCAGGTAAAAAGCTTGGACTGCTGCAGACACTAAACCAGGACATTGCTTCAGTACCGCTGCAGCGCCCACTGGAAGGTAACAGTGAGCTTGGTGAAGGCAAGTTTGGATTTTCTCAGGATACCTGTGGCACAAAATTGTATCATAATGGTAACATTGTTCTAACGTGACCAGCAGTTTCCTTATATGAAACAATTCCTTATATGAAGCAAAACAAAAATGATCTAGCAGAATATTTAAGGCAGCACAGAACTCTGAGCGATTAAAGCAGAAGACTCAGTTTCACCAGTGAAGATGAATGGTCTGCATGATTAGCACAGACATCTGCCTAGCCAAAGGAAAAGGAAAATCAGTTTCCTCCCTTTTCTGCCATACATGACTGACACTAATCCTAAACAGGTCTACTCAGGTCTATTTCAAGGGGGCTTAGGTCCTTGGCTTGCACTCAGTGGTTCAAAAGTTTAGAAAGTAATTTACCCCTCCAAGAGTAGACCTCTGCATAACTCTAACATTTAGCTTGTCTAGACCTGATGACAGAAATACGCTGTACTAAAACGTCTGATAAATGATCACTGCGATAATCTAGGTACATATGAGTCTAGCTCTGGTTGTCCACGATTACAGCCCCTCAGTTACAATACAGCTGACAAATCTCGTCAGAACTTGCAGTGGTCCCGCCGTAAAGCCACCTGCATGAGTCTATCAGTTTAGTGATGAAAATAGATGGCTTTTTAAATCATAAAAAAGAAACAGACCATTTAACATATATACTAAAGTACTTGTATAAAGTATTTCAGGCAACAAATAACAGAAATATTAGTTCTGAACAGGTCACTTACCCACTGATGCGCTTATATATTGCTGCTCTAATAGATTTTGCAGCTATAAAGTCCCCAGAATGGGTAGATAATAACTTCAGTGCCTGAAGAATTGTAGAATTGGTAACAGGTAGTAAAGTCTCCTTTTCAGGAAAGTTTCTTAGTGGAATTATGCACAATTTGCCATGGTGCCAGAACACCTGACCAAAAGAAAGGTACATTTCTTACACACACACATAGAACGAACTGTATCTCAGCAGGAGAAATATACATATACAAAAGGGGAACCTGCAAGGACTTGTGGGGGGGCATCTCATCCCCCCCCCATTTCCCATTTCCCCTTTCCCTTTTCTGAAAGCCCCCACAGCCTCTCCTGTTTTCCTGCTCGCTTCTCTCCTTCCCAACCACCAGCCACCCCTGCCTGTATTTGTTCCCCTGTCTTCAGCTTTCCACCCTTTCCTCCTCCTGGAAATTCTCTTCTCCATTTTGTCCTCACAACAACCCTGTGAGGGAGATTAGGCTGAGATAACTGGCCCAAGTTCACCCAGTGAGCTTCTATGGCTGAGTAGAGACTTGAACCTGGGTCTCCCAGATCCTAGTCTGAACCTCTAACTGCTATACCACACAGGTTGTGGGGTGGCTGCTGTTGAACAGAAGCAAGTGGCTGGGCCCAGGTGAGCCATGCAAGTTGTAAGCTGGCAAGTTGCCTGTAGTTGTGTCAGGCCTGGCCCTGATAAGTCATCTCTCAAAGGTCAAAACAACCCAAGAAACGACCCTCTCTCCTTCCCCTGCATTTTACTGACAGAAAGGAAGGCTGGCAATACACAGTTGTGGCTGCCTAGCAACGGCCATTGAGAGCATTTGTTTCTTAAAGCTATAGCAGCCGCAAAACATTCACTGTATAAGGCCAAAGACCATTACAACGGGGGCACACAGAGGAACATAACACAACTAAGGCAAAAGCAAGAGCACAATAATGTTAAAAACACACAAACACCTCCACAAAATACGATTAAAATACATCAGCCCTTAGACATAGTTCTGCCCCATATTTTCTTGGCAGTCAAGGCAAATGGTACCAGTCTATAAAAAACTCACTGATCTAGTTTCTCCTCCACAGGAGAATTTATAACCTTTAAAATCTCAGAAATAATTTAATATATGCTCTGTATAAAACAGGCTAAACAAAATATGTGCTGTTCAATCCCCAATATATATCTTTTCAGATTTCAGATTTTTCTGTAAACCTGGGGCTTTTTCTCAGCTTTGTAGAAAGATATGTCTTGTCTGGCCATGACCCTAATCTCTGGATTTCGGTATCTACTGATGGGGCCACACTGAGAATTAGATATGTTGATTATATACAAAATTTATCATTTACATTATTGCTGCTTTGGCAGCCAGCACTGTTAAACCTCTCTTACCCGATTGATGCTATTCTCAGGGTTCAGCCACTTAGGAAGGTACTCGGCTGCTTCTATCCGCAGGAATTCACCATCATTATCATCCACCCTATCCAAATAAATGATACTCATATGAATAGGGACTCCCGCCCCAATCCAGCTCTAGCTGTGTATCTGTATCAGATTAAGGATGCAGAACAAATTAAAAATACTGCTATGTGAACAGACATTGGCATTTGGGCACACATCTGGTTTACACCTGCGGCTCCTGATCCAGCAAATTCTATGCACAAAGAAGTCGACTTCTGTGTGCAGATCTCCTTATCTAAAGTAGGACACCTCTATTCACTTGAATATAATATTGGTACTTTCCCTTTATCACCCATGATCAATTAAACCTTACTTGAAATATCTTCTGATATGAGAGTGAAACCAAACCAAACCTGCTCTGTTAACTTTCAGGCAGCTTTTTCTATCTCCATTCACTGAGGCACTAATACCTGAACACTTTCACACAAACTACTGTTCCCATTTCATATACATTTCAAACTGAATTATAAAATAGCTTAAAGTTGCAATCCTACACAATTAGTTAAGAAGCAAGTTGCGTTGTCATCAATGGTTGATGGTTCTAAATGAATACACTTAATTGTATTGTACTGTAAGGCTATTTGTGCTAATGCTTTCATTCTGCACAAATTCTGGGGATTTTTTAAAATGCTCAACACAGCAATGGCGTAAAAAGGCTGTGCGGACCTACATTATTAATTCAGAGAGTTCAATATTGGGACAAGTAAAGTAATATCCCTAAACTTGAAACTAAACTAAACTTGAAACTTGAAGTAATATCCTCTTGCACTCCTATTATGAAAATTATGAAAATCTTTCAGCATAGGTCTAAGATGACAAAAATGGGTTTGTGCTGCCAGTTCCAAAACAGTGCAACACACAATGTAATTTACTGAATCAGAACCTCAGTCTACACACAACTGTTGGTTCATTTTTCTCCCCAGATAAAGTTATGGACAATACAGACAAAAAATGGCTGCCATGACTTCGGTCAAATCTTATAATTAATATCATTCAAAACTAAAATTACATACTTATTTGAGGCAACTGCACTGCTCGTTACTGTTTTAAAAAACCCCACAGAGTAATCTTTGTTTTTTAATCAATATAATGGAAAGGTGCTTAAAAAGGAAACTGAACCCATATTCTTGCAAGGCTACCATACATTCAGATTTGTTACTGTGGAAGTAGTATAAAGTATTCAGATTTTAATATCTAAAGTGTTGTTTGCAGAGTAAGTACCTGGCTGCCAACTCTGGAAATTCCTTTGTAATTTCTCTTAGAAGATACACAATGAACCATTCATCTTCAATGTTATCCCCAAATTTTGTGTGACTGCCAATATGAGCAGGAATATCGCCTAGAAAAGAAGAGGGACAGCATAGTATAGATTGTTTCAGTATCAACTAAACAAATTACTAAAACTAAATTATTTTTTCATCGTTTTATAGGGCAAGAATGGGAAAGTAAAATGGAAAATGAACAACTGTGCTTATCTGAGATGGCTCAATTTCCTCTTATAGAGAGTTTAGTTGATTCAGCTGGGCTTTGTTTTCTTTTTTATAACAGCAACTATGCTGACTACACGGTGGAGAAAGTATACCTTTAAAACACTATATGAAATGCCTGAATAAGGGCTACACAACTACACAATCTTCTCTGCAGAAACTGAAACCTGTGTTCTAATGCTATTCAATATGCTTTACTAAATTAAGATGAGCAAATACCTTTGCATCAATGGGAACAGTTATGGGAAAAAGAAATCAAGTTCACAGCCACCCAGGCGTTAAGAGAAAATTGGTATAAAATGTTTTTCAGATGGTATATTACTTCAAAGAATATTGAGAAAGTAGACAAAAAATATAAGGGAAAATCTTGGAAATGCCAACATACAGATGGAACCTTTTACCATGTGTGGTAGACTTGCAAAAAAGCAAAAAGATATTGGAAGGAAATACATGGAAAAATGCAGAACATATTAAAATTTTAATTCCCTATGGAAGCTAAGAGTATGCTATTGGGAATATTAGCTAACGAATTACCAAAAATTTTGAAAGGGATATTTGACTATATGGTTACAGTGACAAGAATAATTTACTGAGCAAAATGGAAATCAGACCTCTGTCCAAGCTTCTAGAAGAATGGGGAAATAAACTTGCCAATTATGCAATAATGGCAAAATTAACAACTTATTTGAGAAACAGGTCAATTGAGATGTAGTGTCTATTATGTAAACAGGAGACAAACTTAGAATGAGAAACAGTTAAAAAAAATTATATAAATGTATTGCAACGCATAGAAATGTATTACAGTGTAGAAGCAGAATGAGAATAAGTTTTGAATACAAATGTAGAAGGAAGTCGTTATTGAACAAAAAATATCTTATATTTTTAATTGTGAGATACGCAAAAGACTTTCCTTTAAATTTTGGTCATATTAAAAGCTATAGCTAGTTTGTAGATGAAATATGTAATACAGAATATGCAGAAATGATGAAATTAATACTCTATCTGCTAAATAGATTAGCTATGAACTTTGAAATTTAAGATGTTTGAAGTATGGATTAATGTAGTCTATAGAAAATGACATAAAATTATAATGAAGAGGATGTTGGGGAGAAATATTTTCTGTTTTATATATCTTGTAAAGTATAATAACCTTTGATATACATAATTTGTTGTATGACCCTTCTTTTCCTATTGTATCCCCAAAACGTACTCCATTGCCTTGAATGTCAGTCTGGTGCATAGCTGAGTTTGCAGAAATAATATTAATTTGAGATAAAATTATGGATAGTGTCTATAATCAGAATGTCTGCCACAGTATCACCACCTGTATGTTCTGCCAGTTTCTGAAGAACTGGGAACCCTTTCTCCACATTAGAAACATTAGAACAGAATGATCACAAGGACAACATCTTTACCTTTGGCTGGCTTATACTTAAGATTAAATGGCTGGTTTTGCCAGATATAGGAAACCAGGATGGGTGCAAAGTGTGCTAATATCTTTTCAATATATGACTGAAGAATTTCTTGGTGATGCTCGGATGCTTCTTGTTTGGGTGTTAGCAGAAATAGCTGGTACTGCACTGCATCTTCCACAGTTGCAAGGCGTAACTCCTTCTCCATTCTCTATTTAATTGGGCACCCTTTAAAGAGAAATACTGAAATCCTTTACACAAAGGTATGCACAACAACACCTCCAGCACCAAATGCTAATCTACACTGGCAAATTTAGAAACTCTTCTCCAGAGCATTCCTCACCCTATTTTTGTTTAAGGCGTCAAAAACAGATCTATAAAGGAACTTCCTAATGACCCCCTTGCTACTGAACTGATTACGCTGCCTTGAAAAATGACAAGAAAAGTGTCCTAAAACTCCATTTCCATGCCAGAAACCTTCAACTTCCTGGATTTTTGCCTATACTGCAGATCAGTTGGAAGATAAAGGTGAGAGCTGAAGGTATCTCCTGGGTAGGAAGAGGATATCCAGCAAAGACTTTACGTTGCTGCAAAGCATTCCTCTCTTTGGAGAGTTTACTTGGGAGGCTCAACCTGCTTAACTTCCATTATCTGTTGCTACAGGCAAATCCCCCTTCATGTACATACGAAACTCCTTTTTTTTTTTGCTGTCAAGTCACAGGTGACTTACATGGGGTTTCAAGGCAAGGCATGTTTGGAGGTGGTTTGCAACTGCCTTCCTCCGTGTCACAGCCCTGGTATTCCTTAGCCATCTCCCAAACAAATACTAGCCAGAGTGGACCCTGCTTAATTTCTGAGATCTGATGAGACTGGGCTATCCAGAGCTATCCAGGTCAGGGCCTCTTCTGAATAAACCTGCTGGAGGGGGGAGGGGCTGCATACAGAAAACGTGCACCAGAGAGAGTTGGTCAGTGTGGTGTAGTGGGGACAACCAAGGTTCAAATCCACACACTCACTGAGTAGCCTTGAGCCAGTCACTATTCCTCAGCATAACCAATTTTACAGCAGTGTTGTGAGGATAAAGCAGGTTGAAAGAAGCAGACATGCTGCCCATAGCTCCTTGGAGGAAAAACAAGATAAAAACATGCTAAATACATAGCTGGCCTTGGCAGTGTTTATTGGCATTTATGTTGCACATAAACCATATTCAACAGCAATAAGAAAATTGCTTTCACCCAGAAAACATTCGGAAGACACTGTTGGATACAGGTTATAAGTAACAATATTGTTCCAAATTAACATCCAATCAAAAGGCCACATTACACTTTCTGATTAAGACCCTCGAAACAGCATACATGTTTTTGAGTTCTAAGACCTCTTCATCAGGCAGGGCAGTGGTGCAAAAAATTGTTCTAGAGAACTCAAAACCTTGCATGCTACTTTTTGTTATTTTGGCTGATCCTAACAGGGAGAAAAACCATGGCTATACAAGAACAAGAAAGTGACAAACACTGGCTCCCTCAGACAAGGTTTCCAGAGGACCCATTAGCAGCAAACAAATATGCATCTAGCAGCATCTTCATTTAGAAATACCAAACTACTTTTCCCGCCTCCGCTTGAGCAATGACTTGGAATTTGTACTGTTAAAGCCATTTTAACCCTAACCCCAACCCCACCCATTACAGGCACTGGTTCAGCAAAACGCGTGAAACGGTCTCTGCGTTTTCCCTGATTAGACCGGAAAAGGGCATCTCACCATTTACTTCATGGCCTCTTCACTCTGCTGTTTCTTTCCCAAGCCCGGTACCTAAAACAACCGCCTAGTCAGGATCTGCACGTCGCATCTGAAGAAATCCTCGCAAATTTTATCCTGAAAGAAAACTTGGTTAGTCTTTAACGCACCCCCAAAGTACTACCTATTCTAGCATTTATGGAAGTTATGCAAACCACCTACAGTCTTCTTCAGAAGAAAGCGGCTTGTGATGGGACAAAAGCCTTTCAGCTATCACAAGACCCCCTCAGACGTCACCCTCCGCTCCTCTTTCCCCTCGAGCCCCCCTCGCCGCTTCCCTCCCGCCAGCCCGTCTCTCCCTCGCCGCCTCAGACACGCGCTCCGGGCTACCTCATCGCCGCGCGCCGCCATTCGGGTTGCTTCCGCCACGGCGGTGGGGACGAGGGCAAGGCCAAGGGGGGCGGGGCGTCGCCATGGCGGCCAAGGGCCGAGGCGGCCAGGCGGCACCGCCGACCAGGCCCGAGATGAAACGTTGAGGCGGGAGGATGATCTCGCGATACACGCGGAAGCCGGTAGCCCCCGACGCCCTGGGGATGTGAGTGACCTTCCTCTCCTCAGCCCCGGCCTCCTCCTTCGGGGTCGGCGCCTGACCCTCTTGGCCGCCTCTCCTTTTTGGCCCGGCCTCCCCCTGCTGGCAAATGGCCCAGCGCAAAGGTGTAAAGGGCCTCTGTGCCAAGAGGAAAATCCACGCCGTCGCTTTAATTAAGGACACTCCCCCCCCCCAAAAAAAAAAGTGCGCGAGCTTTTGAGTTAGGTAGAACTCTTCTTCAGGCTCTGAGTCGGTATGCCAAGTGATGGTACGGAGATGGGTTTTGGTTGCTGCTGTTCTGGAGAACTGATTGGCTCCCTACCTCGTTTTAGCATCCAGCCCAATGAAGAGTTTGCACAGTGTTTTGCGTCATTTTGGTTGGCCTTAAGGAAAGGTATTACGTGGATTTTGTTTGGGGATTTTGCTTTGGACCAGTGCAGCGACTTGCAACTTGAGTGTGGAGAGAGTGTGGTAGGAGGCAGGTGGAACTGAGGGCTCCACACTTGCACAGGGGAAGGGAAGATTGGGGTGAGGGCGCTGCAAATGAGAAAGGGGGGGAGGCGGTGCCTCTTGTGCCCCACCACTCCTTAAGGGCCTGGAGTGCGGGAATAATGCAGTGCCTCAGTGGGGAAAGCCCCCTAAGTGTGTATGGATGGGGAGTGATCTATCTGAACTAGTTCTCAGTGAGGTGGCTCAGTCTATGTCTGGGCTGTACACTTTCACCCTGCAGTTGGGATGTGTGTTTGATTGGATGTTCCCTCTCGTGAAAAACACACACACACCATTCCTATTTGTAGAATATTGGCATGTCAGGCAAGAACCCTGCTTCCTAGCAATTAGGGTTGCCAACCTCCAGGTGTCACCTAGAGATCTGCTATTACGACTGATCTCCAAATAGCCAAGATCAGTTCCCCTGGACAAAAGGGCTGCTTTTCGTGGTGGACTCTGGCATTATACCCTGCTGAGGTCCCTCCCCAGGCTCCACCCTCAAAGTCTCCAGGTATTTCCCAACCCAGAGCAGGCAACCCTTCCTGGCATACTGCCTCTCTGTGTGCGGGATTGTTTTTCTTTGTGGAGGTATATTTAATCCTTGGAGCCTTCACCTTCAGTGAGAACTAGACCTTTGACAGCTTGTAGGGAGGGGCTAGTAAGGGAGTCCTGAAGGAAAAGTTTCTTCTGCTTGATGTGGGGCTTTTGAAAAGGAAAATTTGCACCTGCACTGCAGTAGGTGGTTGCAAGTTTTACAGCACGTCTCTGCATTTTTTCTTGTGTGTGTGCACATATTCTTTGTTGTTTAGGATTGCATTCCATGTTGTTTACAGCACAATCCTGAGCAGTTACACCTTTCTAAACCCCTTAAAAGGTGTAATTGTTTCGTACTGCTCTGTTCGAAGCCTACACAGAATGGGAGAAAATGGTCAGTGCTGGGAATTTGACAGCATTGATGCAAGAGAGAGTTATATTCAGGTTTCACCCAAGAGGCATCATGCACTCCAACAAAACCTTATTTGGAATGAGGTATACAAAAAAGGGGGGGGGGAATCGGAACAAGAGGGGACCCCCCACAAATATTTTGTGTGACTTAGCCCCAGTAACTGCAGGCTATGGAAGGTCGGTAGTTCAGCAGTTTGAGACCCGAGTGTGCCACATGACGGAGTGAGCTCCCGTCTCTAGTTCCAGCTCCTGCCAACCTAGCAGTTTGAAAGCAAGAAATTGTAAGTAGAAAATAGGTACCACTTCGGTGGGAAGTTAACAGCGTTTCGTGCGCCTTAGTCATGCCGGCCACATGACCATGGAAATGTCTTTGGACAGCGCTGGCTCTTCGTCTTTGAAACAGAGATGAGCACCGCAACCCTAGAGTCGGATTTGACTGGCTTTCGAGCAAGGGAACCTTTACCTTTTTACTATATTGGATATTTTCTGGCATCAGCAACTTATCATAACATTGATAGTGTCACATGATTTCTCAGGAAAGGGTTCTCCATGCTCTAGAATTATTTTTGTCATCTTCGAAACACCGATGAACACTGTGTGGGGAATTGCTGTGGAGTCTGCAGGGAGTGTCTTTGGAAGAGGGGAGAGAAATAGGTATGCTTTATCAGGGTCTGGGGTCTAGGGGGGCCTGGACTTTACTTTACTTTTCCCATTATTATCAGTGACTTTTCATATCAACAAACATAATGCAACATCCTCGTGGCTTGAATGTTTACACTATGCAAATGAACTTTAGGAACTGCTCACATTTTCATGGAACTGTATCTTTTGTGTCTGGTTGCACATTTTCAAAGCCCTAGTTTGAGAGTTTATTTATATACAGCTATCCTGGGATTGTTGCCTTTTATTTATTCACGTTTTCAGCAGATGAAATGAAAGGGAGGGAAGTCAGCAAAATCTGGAGCTCCCAAAACTGCAATTATATGCTGAGTTAAGAGCCAGTTTGGTGTAGTGGTTAAGTGCACGGACTCTAATCTGGGAGAACTGGGTTTGATTCCCCACTCCTTCACTCGCAGCTGCTGGATGATCTTGGGCAAACCATAGTTCTGTCAGAGCTGTTCTTGAAAAAGAGCAGTTCCTGTCAGAACTCTCTCAGCCCCCACCTACCTCACAGGGTGACTGTTGTGGGGAGGGGAAGGGAAAGGAGTTTGTAAACCGCGCTGAGACTTCTTTGGGTAGTGAAGGGCGGGGTATAAATCCAACCTCTTCTTCTTCTTCTTCTGTGTCAAATTCTGTGTAGGATCAGGCTGCTGTATCTTAGGGTTGTCAGCTCTGGGTTGGAAAATACCTGGCAATTTTGGAGGTGGAGCTTGAGGAGGGCAGGGTTTGGGGAGGGGAGAGACTTCAGTAGGGTATAATGTTACAGGGGCTACCCTCCAGAGCAGCTATTTTCTCCAGGGGAACTGGTCTCTGTTGCCTGGAGAGCAGTTGTAATCCCAGGGGATCTCCAGCTACCACCTGGAACCACCTGGAATTTGGCAACCTTATATATCATTCCTATTTGAATCACGTAAACTATAGGTTGAATCCAGCCAGCTTTTTCACTCAGTCTTACTACAGTCCTCATTCCATGTGGCTTTTGTAAATGCGGGTCCCACAGTCCCTATTATAGCTTTTTGGGGTAGAAAAGCTGCTTGGAGCCAAGGAATGATTCTGGTACAAGAGGTAATTATCCTGCAACAGACAAAAGGATTTGTGAAAACAAAGGGAAATTTTGTGGCACATAAACGACTAACCGATGTTATAATAAATGTTAGCATTTAAGATGCCACAAACTCCCCCCCGCCTCTGCTTTAGCTGACTAATGTGGCTACCCATTGAAAGTAAGAACAGCCTGTGTCATTATATCAAAGCATCTATGGCTGGGACACCTAGGAATTCAATGATTGTTAACGGGCCTTGAGAAAAGAATTTATAATATTTGATCTAGGGTTGCCAACTCCAGGTTGGGAAATACCTGGAGATTTTGTGGGTGGAGCCTGAGGAATGCAGGGTTTGGGGAGGGCAGGAACTTCAGTGGGGTACAATGCCATAGAGTCCACCTTCCAAAGTGGCCATTTTCTCCAGGTGAACTGATCTCCGTCACCTGGAGATCAGTTGTAATAGCAGGAGGTTGGCAACCCTAATTTGCCTAGTCTTGACTAAATGAAAGCTTTGGGAGGAAGTAAATACCAATTTAGTGCAAAGGTTAACCCACTATTCACATACTATTCAGAGCAGTCTATGAAATAATTTAGATGAGGTAGATGTTTTGTGGTAAATATGTACAATTCCATATTCTTCACAATTGTTTGGACCTTCTTGTGGTCTAAACAGGAGATGTAATTGTTCTTAGACTTTTGTGTGGGACACAGTGCTACTTTGAAGTTGAATTTGGACAAGAGTCACTATTCTCTTCCTGGCGGGAGTGGTATGAACAGTGTCCAGGAGTGGAGAATGGGTGAAGGGGGTGTGTTCTGGTGGGTATTCTGTAAAGGGTTCCTGGTAAGTAGTAGGAGGGGAGGGCAAAGGAATTGGCAACATCTAGCAGTTTTGATTAATATCTATTTGTTTGGGAATTCAGAAAAAACAATACAAAACTCAGTGTAGAGTTATGTGATAGGATTAGAATAATTTAAATGCTTAAAAGCAGTGCAATGCAGAAACGAACAGCAGCTAGCTTCTTAACTGTAGCTCTGTGTCACATATTGAGACAGTACCTTAATATATATAGCCCAGTGCAGGTGTAACATTCATGACCCCTAAGCATGGTTTGTAAACAGAGTATGTCTCTGTTTGCTGTCCTGTTTTCAAACCTAACCATGATGAAATGATACATCTGCACGTGACCGACACTGACCATTGTTAGCTCAAATCACATAGTAAATTATTCCACTGCTAAATATGGATGCAGAGAGGAAAGAGCACAGAAACATGTTCTCACGTCCCTGTGCATCCACAATGGTTTTCAGCTTCATGTCTCCTGGGTTCTCCCTCACTAAAGGTGGCCCTTGCTTTTTTGGTGGTTGCTCCGGATTTATGGAACAGGCTCCTCAAGGAGGTGAGAGGGGCTCCGTCCACAGAAATCTTTGTGTAAGGCTATTTTATTCACCAGAGCTTTTAATGGAATGTGAGTTGCAGGCATTTTCTTTGGCTGGGGTGGAATAGCTGCTTTGTTGTTATTCAGTGTTTTTAATTCTGGATTGTAAGATGCCTTGATCCATAGGGAAAGGCAGGATATAAATGTTTTACCAAATTAATAATTTCAACTGTTTTCTTATACCTGCATGATATCCTATCTCTGGAGAAATTGTCTTGCTGAAATGCTATTCCCACTACTGTTTAAATCCCTGTTCTTTGAAGACAATTTTTACTTGTAGCTCTCATAATGAACAACAATAAAAAACAACAATTTTAGCAACTCCCAGTGGTAGTGAAACTCAGTTTTACCTTCCCCTCAGTTTAAACACATCTAATATTTTGGTTTTCCTGTTAGCCGTGGACTTACAAAGAATACCTTAGAACATCATCCCCTGCCAGACTCACTAGAAGACAGTAATCCATCCACTGGAAGCCAAGAAGACGTGCTAAGGTATTGTGGTATTATTATTATTATTATGCTTTGTGGGAAGACAGCAGGAAAAGATTTTTTTTGTTATCCTCGTTTATTTCTGATTCAAAGTGTACCCTGGTAACAGGAGTACTACTCTGTACCTTCCCTTTAGGGTTGGGTGCCTGTTAAAGTGTCCACTCAAATACTTTCAGTTGGCTGTCTGTGGTCAAGTGTCAGTTCTGCCACAAAGCCAAGAATATCCTTGTGCTAAGGTGATGCTTAGCTGGTATCATCAGACAGTGAAGACAAAAGAGAGGTTGCTTTGATTCTTCCTGCTGCTGAGTCAGGTCATGCACACATGCCGCGTTTAGGAGCAGCCAAATAATAATTGCCCTGTCCTTTAATTCTCTGCATTGAAAAGTGTGTTTTCTGTTATGGTTGCTACTGAATGAATTTTTTTTTTTTTTAATGATATAATTGGAACTGGGCTGTCGTAGGGGCTCCAGGACAAAAATAAAGATTGTTCAATAGTCATATACCTGCATAATAAAGTTAGCTATAAATGATTGATTGCAATGAATGTAATGCAATTCTTTCAAAACAGTTAAGCTTTATTTCATTAGTATCATACATTTTATTCAGATATTTTGCTGTTACAGGAATGAGCTTTGGAAGTCTTTGGGCTTGCATGACCCTGTTCTTTCCCTCCTTTTCTGGCTTGCAGTTCAAAAATGGAAAACCTCCTGGTTTACAACAAACTGGGTGAAACAACAAACCGTGGTTTGTTGCCCATGAAACAAGATTTTAAATCACAGTTTAATGCTGGTTTGTAAGCAGAGGTACAAATCACAGATTGTCGTTTCATCCATTACAACAAAATGTGGATTGTTGGTAATTTGAAAGTCGTCAGTCTCTGAGTCATGCATTAGAGAGTGGGGAGCCCAATGGGTCTGAAGGCTCAGTCACATAAAGACAAATCATAGTTTGTCACAACATTTCAGTGCAGCTGTCAGCTTCTTTCCTCACCATAATAAATGAATGCTTTATACTTTTGATCAGTATTAGACATCCTTTGTGTGCAGTTCCCATTTGTGCACTGAAAAGTCAGACGAAGATAAAAACTTTTATAGGACTCTGTGTGTGGTATTTTTTCTTAAATCTTCAGATGATGTTCTGTTTTTGTTCTTTGTATCTGTTAGTTCACATTAAAAGTTTCATTCACCATCCTACATGTGACTTGATCCTATTCTAATTTTCTTTTATTTCTGTTTCCCCAAATGTGCATTTTAGTGATTCTGAAAGTACAAAAGAGTTAAATTACCAACCGATCACTTCTGTGGACAATGGAAACCCGTGGTCACCTAGTCAGAGCTTCACAGGCAATTCCACAGAAGACAGTTCAGTCTTCTCTTGGGGCTATGATGTAAGTAGACTGAATTCCCACAGTTTCAGCTGAGTTGTGGTGGTGCTTCAGCACACACTTTTCTCATTGATTCATTATTGGATTTGGATTAGTTTATTTTTTTAAAAAAATATTTCTCTAGCAAGGCAAAAGTTTGCCAAATAACTGCATTGCTCTAAGTCATCCACTGACATTGATATATTGGAAGTTCAATTTTTCTTTTACTTAATATGAGAAAAGTCTTCTGCATATCCTGCAGAATTGTAAAACAATCTCATTAGCCTGCATACTTTTTTCTTAATTATGTAGTTAGTCGGTTTCCCCTTTTTATTCTGTTTTCTCCCCAATGTTCCTCCTCCCCAGGAATTTGATAAAGCTGCTACACGGCAAGTTCAGCAGATATTCAGACACATAGATGAGCTTTTGTATGAACAGAAACCAAGTGTCTATGTTGAAGGCCTAGAGGAAGAGTGCCAACAGTGGACATCAAGCTTTCCCCATCTCAGGTATTGTGCAAGATGTTACATGATACTATGGTAGAAACTTGTCAATACAAAGAAGGCTGTAGTTTTAAAATTCTACAGAATTGATGTCTCATGCATAGTTTCAGTAGTGCTCAGCTTATATTACAAGTAGTGCTCAGCATTACAAAGCTTACAGGATGCGCTACTAATTATGGTTGGTTCCAAACTTCATGTTGTTCCCCCAGTTTTTTTGCTTTGTGGTGTGTGGCTGTGATTTCCCAGGTCAAACTGGTAAGCAACAGGCATGTGTTACTCTATGCTTATTCTCACACTCTGTATCCAAATCCTGTCCCATACCTCAAAGCCATTACTCATTGGTAGTAGCCAGGGCTTTTTTTTGGTAGAAAAAGCCCAGCAGGAACTCATTAGCATAATAGGCCACATCCAACAGCAGAAACTCATTAGCATATTAGGCCACACCCCATGCCTTCCCTTGGCTTGCCTAGGCGCCCCACGGCTGCGAGGATCCCGGGCAAGCTGGCCCTTGGACAGGCTGGGGAAGACATGGGGAGGCATTTAAATGCCTCACCGATCCTTCCAGGGGGCCCCCTGGCCTGCTCGCCTTGGAGTCACCAGGGTGTGTGTGTCGCTCTCCAGGCCTTCCCTCTGTAGCCAGGCACGCAGAGGTTTTGGCTGTAGTGGGCGTGGCCAACTCTGAAGCCAGCCGGAGCTCCGTTCCTGTGTGTTTCTGCCCAAAAACAGCCCTAGTAGCCAAGTTGGTAGGCACAGACAATGGCACTGCCTCTTAAAGAACCACATCTTTTTTTGAGCCAAAAATTCAGCAGAAAGTTTTACGGTGCACCACCAATTTATGCAATCATCTGTCGCTCACGGTTTTATACTACAAGCTATTTTAAACATGTTTCTCTCTTTCCTTCTGAGTCATGGAGTGCCATCACTGCACTGATGCTGAACAGCTCAGTACTAAGAAGGGGTTCCCTTGGAACGTACTAAGTGCTTTATCAGTACAATGTTGCACATCATCATTTTATATTGAGGATTCAGGCAGTGCAATCCTGTGCAGAGTTACTCCAGTCTATTGATTTCCATGAATTTAAGACTAAATTAACTTCATAGGATGGTACTGAGCATTGCTCAAAACTGGGTCACTGTCCACCATAAAGTGCTCCTCAGAAGCAGGCGATGCATTGGTCTGTCTGTACATTTGCAGCTATTGCTCACAGATAAAAATTAGATATTTTTGTACAGCAGCCTCAGTATACCTGCTGGGTGCCTTGTATTTGTTTTCTTATTTTGTTAAGCATACTTTCGCTTATTTAAGTTTTCCTTTGTAATTTTCTCTTTCACTTTATAGGATTGTTGGAAAACAAGTGGTGAGCCCCACAGATGAAGGTTACGGCTGGTATTCTAGTTCGACTTGCAACACCTTAGGTTCGTCAGACACAAGCTCAATGCAAGAGAAAGACCCTAGTGAGTAAGTATCAGTGTTAGAATAAGTCACTTATGAGCATACCTTGTAGTGACATAATTGTTTTCTTGCTGTTTTTGTGGTAGGAAATTATGGTAGGAAAGGGAGCGGTGGCGCAGGCGGGAAAACGCCTGCTGTAATAACAATGAACAGCCACTATGGCTGTTCGAGACCCACCGCGGCTGGGGTGAGCACCTGGCCCTGTTCCCAGCTCCCGCCCACCCAGTGGTTTGAAAGCATGTAACAACAGCGAGTAGATAAATGGGTACCTGCTCTAGATGGCAGGGGGCACCCTCCTCCGTTGTGAGGTGTGGTGGGAGCAGCAGCGACGAGCAGCAGCGGCGAGATTGGCGGGGCGAGCCCTGGTGGCCAGCAAGTGTAACATCGAGTGGTGGAACGGATGACGGCAGAGGCAGAGATGGAAGGCGTGGAGGCGCAGGCGCGGCGGAGCCGAATGGACGTTAGCCGGAGCCGTGCTGACGCGAACCGCGCTCCAGATGAGCCAGCCAAAGAAAGAAAGCCACCAAAAATGGGAAACCTACCCCTGGCCGCCAGAACGAAAGCACCGACCCCGAAGACCGCCGGAAGGAGGAGGAGCCACCGAGCCGGAACAGCAGCCCCACCACCTGGGTGCCGGTAGGCAGCCCCACCCCTGTACGATGTGGCTGTAGTTAGGGAAAAAGTAGTCTTAGACTTGTATGTAAACCGCCCAGAGACCCTTCGGGGTCAGGGCGGTATATAAGCTGAATGTATAAATATAAATAAATAAAATAAATTTACCTTTATAATAATTCCATCTATGAAAATGTATTAGATCTCCTATATAAACCATACTTTTGAAAGTAGCTACAGCATGATTAATGTATAACCGACAGTATTAACTCCTTTCAGATATTAGCTTGCTAACAGAAGGGGGGTGATTTTTGCCAATTGCCCTTCCCACTTCAAGCTTTTGACTCCCTCTTATGCTGTGTCTGAAGGTCCCCTGTCCTTCAGGAACAGTCTTTTGGGTATCATTTTGGCAGGAGGAGCCACATCTCCTTCCAGCTGGAGTCCCTTTGTGTCTTGTGGCAGAAGGTTCCAGAGGGTAACCTGAGGGAAGGGGGTTGGATGCAGACTTATGTGAGACTTAGTACCTCTCACACACATATGTTGCCTGTGTTCCCATGTCAGCCCTCACCCATTCACTGAGATAACCCTGTGCTAAAGGACAGTGATCTTGCAGATCCTTGGATGCAAAACTTACTGTGGGATGGAGCAGCAATGAGGAGGGAGAATCATAAGAAATCTCACTCTGGTCTTGCATATACAGGCTTATATGTCATTCTTCAAAAGTCACCCCTGGTTTTAAGAGGTAGGTCATCATGTAGTTGATATCAAAATCATACAGTTAGTGTATGCAAAGAATATGAAGTCCGCCTTGCTTGTGGCCACTTGAAAAGAAGAAGAAGAGTTGGATTTATACCCCACCCTTCACTCAGAGCGGCTTACAATCTTTCCCCCTTCCTCTCCCCACAACAGACACCCTGTCAAGTAGGTGAGGCTGAGAGAGGTCTGAGAGAACTGTGACTGACCCAAGGTCACCAGCTGGCTGCATGTGAAAGAGTGGGGAATCAAACCCAGTTCTCCAGAGTAGAGTCCACCACTCTTAACCACTACACCAAACTGGTTCTCCAGCTTGTCTTCTTTTTTGTTGTTGTTCAGGTTTAGTATTTTGGGCAAAAAGGTTTCCCTCTCTGTGACTCCTGTTTCTAAAGAAGGTAACTTTTCAAAACTTCCTGAATTGTTTGTGTTGGAGAGTGAAGAAGAAGATGGAGTGATTGTCTCAGAAGGCATAATGGAGGAATATTTAGCGTTTGACTGCAGAGATGTGTAGGTATTGAATATTTGATCAGTCTTGCTGTGATGTGTAACACAAGTAGCTGAGAATGTTTATCACTAAATTGATATCCATTTGTTCCTAATTTTACAAACTAATGCATTACATAGTGAATTATTACTTTAACATTTGTTATAAACAAGATGAATGTATATTTTTAAATTAGGGCTGCACTCTCTTATCAATCCATTGGTTAGATTAATCATTTAGATCCCTTTTGATGGACTAAAAAGTATTCCCAGTGTAATTGGGCAACACTTGCTTTTTAAAATTGTAACTATTTTTGAAGGAGGTATTTAGAAAAACTGCACACTCTTGATTGCTGTGACTTTTGCAAGTATCCTCTGAAAGAAATAGAAGTGTGCTTTTATTTTCTTTTTCATTTGTGCAGTTTTAATTGAGTAACAGTGCAGTCCTGTGCAGAGTTACTCCAGACTGCAGTAACTCTATATAGGATTGCAGTGTAAAATTCATAAGATGAATTGATTAAGATTTCTAGAATTGGGTGGGAGTTGTATTTTTCATACAGAAATGGTTAATTTCAGACAAAGCACACTTCTACTGTAGCTCCACAGGCACTGAATTAGTTTAGTTCTATTGATAGTCTTCTGAGAACATTGTCAGAATTCCCCAGTGCTAATTTGTGGGAAATTATTCAGCAAATTTACCATAGTATATTCTGACTTTTGCTAGCTCCCTGTCTTCTTAGGGAGGAAGAGTTGCATGAAAGGAAAATGGGGATTTCACCTGACAGACGGAAATTAGGTTTCCCTCCTATCTCACCGTCATACTGCATGAGGGATGCTGTTCTTTCATATGTATTTGATGATGTATGGAGTGAAGTTTTGGGCTGCATGGAGCAGTTAATCTGTAGACATTGGGAAGGCTCAGTCTCTGGTAAGTGTCGCAGCTGAAATGTAATCGGAGCAACAGATCTCCTTCTCCTAAGGTCTTTCTCAGAAATATATTTTTAACACTTAGTAGAGGTAAACTCTCTCCAGGAGGGAGTTGTGGCCTCAGGTTGGGCTCTTAGTACCCAGTTGGGCTCTTAGTACCCAGTTTTGTTCTCAGCAGTTCCTCATGAAATAGGGTAATTAAATTGTTTGGGTCAATGGTTGCCTTTGAGAAACTCATTCTCAGCTACATTCTATTCTCCCATAGGGCTGGTTCCTGTAGAAAAGGTCTGCATGTTCCTCCAGCTCCCCCCCCACACACACACACATTGCTCATAGGGTTCCCCTATCGCCCAAGAGCAGCAATTCAGGGGGAGGTGGGGAAGTGTGCTTCCATGCATGCAATTTAGACAGGATCCAACCCAGTATGTTTTTGATTCTGGCACTGTGTTTTAGAAAGTTAAGATATGTTATTTAGTCCAACATGCACAGCAGAATCTTCTGCTAGCTCTGCTTTTATTTTTAGAAGTTGTTTTCTGACCTGTTAGCATACCTAAAATCGAATCTGTTGTTGCTCTGTGACAGAAATCTAGGGAACAAAATCCATTTTTGATATCATTCTTATCAGACATAAAAATTACAGTTCTTGAAGTTTTGCCTTTAAGAATCACTAGCATAGTGATTTTGATTCTTCTGGTCTTGGTAGATGATGAGAAGAATATAATAACCGTAGAATCGAGCAGGACAGATTCAGGAAGCCCTTTTATGCAGTTTGAACCATTGCCGTTATTGTTACCTCGAATGCCACAAACCAAGATGCCCTCCATCACCTCCAATCTGGTAAGCCAAAGAAACAAAGTGATCTGTGTCAGATTGAGTTGATGTCCAGACATGGCAATGCCTGAGTTTAAAAGTTGCCATGGCTTGACTATGACTGCCCTTTCTAAACTATTTTCCTGTCATACTGTTACAACTTTTAAAAATTCTGCCTTGGAACACTGGTGTATGATTTTCATAAGACGTAGTACTCTGTGAGACTCTGATTAGTATTCACAGAAGATATTAGATCACCCAGCTCAGTACACAACAGAGATAAATGTGGCTTTGGTGATTTGAAGTTCAAAGTAACTCAGTTAAATTTTTAAAAATCTTGCTTCACATATTCTTGGTGCACTTAGGTTCCCATGACCGTGATGAATGTCCAAGGTTTAATCAGTATTTGGTCTTTTTAACTCAAATGCTTTCCTTTTTATTTCTTTCCCCTCCACTTCCCTGTATAATCCTCTGTCTTCCTCGTATACACCTTATTATATGTATAGTACTCAAAGCACAGATGCGGATGCAAAACCAAAAAGAAGAGAAAAGCACCAGAAGTATGTATCCGTCAGTGGGGGAGGGGGTAAAGCATTATTTTTCTTGTCAGTGTCATTGCAGTGGGTGGATTTTCTGGAATTTTATCATTATGAGGCAGACCTACAGGACAGTGTCATTACCGTAACCCTAAACTTGCTTACACTGAAGTGAGGTACATTTGCTTTGGCAGAACTAACTTCCAAATAAGTCACACTGCCACTCAGATTCCTTTTGCAATGAAGAGCCAATGAGGCACATTACGAAGTGGCAACAAAATCTTCCTACCAGCATTCCCAATTTCTCTTTACTCATAGAATTATACCGTTTCAAGTGAACAAGTTTAGGCTATTATTCTGAATACCCATCGAAAAAAATCCAGCATGGTGTAATGGCTAGAATGTCAGAGTAGGATCCGGGAGACCCAGGCTCAAATCCCCACTTTGCCATGGAAGCTTGCTGGGTGGCCTTGGGCCAGTCATGTGTTCTTGACCTAACTTGCCTTACAGGGTGCTGTGAAGATAAAATGGAAAAAGAGAGAATGTTGTAGGCGGCCTTAGGTTCCCACTGGGGACAAAAGTGGGGCATGAGTAAAATAAATAACAAACTTTAGTGAGATTTACGTTAAATCTTTTTAGATTATAGATTGACACCTGGATGCTAAGTACATTGGTGAGGGTCCAAAGACTCTGCATACACTTGTGCGCTTCAGCCCTGGGCCCTGCTCCTATAATCCCTCCTTCACCCTCAAAGACAACTCTGGAAATCAGGGGATGCTCTAGAGAGCAAGAAATGATCTGGGACTGGGCTTTTTGGATCTCTTCCAGTACTTGCAAGTAGCCCTGTTAATCCCACTGGGATCTGTAGCAGTACTGTGTGGGCTGCCTGTGGCAGACGTTGCACGAGACTAGTGCAGAAGCTGCTGGGGCCGGCTTCCACACTAGAGGCGGAAGGGAGATTTGCCTTCTCTCCTGATGGCAGGAGAGTGAAGGGAAGCGCAGGCGCTGTAAATGCGGTTGTCTCATTGACGTTCTAGTTTGCGAGACCTGCAGGGTAATCAGAATGTGACCGAGGGTCAAAGTAGATACCGCATCCCACCATGGGGTTGTGGCACCATTTTAAGGCTTTTAAAACTTTTAAAAATGCCTGACAGGGGCCTGATTCTGCCAGGGACTGTGGTGCAGGGGATGAGGGGCTCCTGTCTGCCTCTTTGCTGTTTTCAAGAGCCGAAACGGCCTTGGGGGTCATCTAGTTTGGCCCGAAGAGTGGGCCCCCTAATTCTTGACATGTGCTTCAATGCAGTACATGTTTTGTGAGGAGTTGTGCAGCAATCCTAAGCATGCCTAGTTGGAAGAAAGTATCACTGAATCCATCTGTCAGACTTTTATGCAAATACAGTGAGGATGGAGGAGTTAGTTTTGTATTCCTAGCACAAAGTACAAACAAGTCTGATACTATGAGAGTCTTTTATGCAGGAGAACCAAACGTTGCTTTAGTCCAAATTCATTTATGTAAACTTTAGCTAATGCAATTGCTTCAAGTGAATTAGAGCTTTGTTTGTGAGATAGTATTATATAACAAACAATATATATTGAAAATTTAAAAACATATTTATTTATTTAGACATTTTTACCCCACCCTCCCCGCAAGCGGGCTCAGGGCGGCTTACAAGGGGCATATGGAAAGTGTTCTGTGTATGAGTGCTTATGGCCTGTTGTGTGTCACCTGGGATATGAAGATGGTACCCAGTTTTTCTTTAAAACCTTGAAATTCTCTTTTCCCTTTAATATTTAGTAGGTATAAATATGACAGTAAGCATGTCTTCACCATCATATTTCACTTAATGCTGGGTAAATTGACTGTCTTGTGATCTGCAGGTAAATCTTTCTCAAGGAACGAGCTGCAGTCCACAACGCAGTTTGAGTGGCCTGATGGTGATTCATGGGATCCCCTTATACCAAAGGAACTTACCTCTGATGGATAAAATATTGTAAGGGCAGCAACCTTTTCTGTTCTGTATGAAAACTAGCCTAACAATTACTGAGCTAGGAAGCAGATGTATACTTGCTTCAAACTTTCACTTGGCAGCTAATTTTATGTGCAACTTTTGAACATCTTCCTGTTTCTATTTTGTGAGAAGCAATACATTTGTGCATGGCCCTCGGGCCTGGTTCAGATGGACAGTTAAACCTACTTAATTTCATAGCCTGTGTCTGATTGTGTTGAAGGGACCAGTGCATCAATTTAAGCACTTGCTTAAATATTTTGTGCAATCTGAATCTTATGGTGCCATACTAAGCAGTGTTTCACACTTCTAAGTGCTTGAATTTAGCAGACTTAGAAGAGTGGAACTTTGCTTAGGAGACCTGTAATAAAGACAGCTGAAGAGGTCTACAATGCAATCCCAAGGAGAACTACACCTTGCTAAGCCCCTTTAATTTAAGTGGACTTAGAAGGGTGTAGCTCTGTTTGGGATTGCACTGAATGTTGCCTTCCTTTGAATTGTGACATTGCTTGGTTAGAAGTCAGCTTTCTAGGTTTTGCATGTTAAACTGAAGATTTTATGTCAGATTTATTTTAAAAATTGTAGTGGCTCACCTTTCAACCAAGCTCTCAGAGCAAAAAATAAATTCCTAAAAGCACAGATGTGGATCCAGAGAACCTTGGCTAATGTTTGATGAAATATACCTGGGGTTTAATGCATCTTTTAATTTTTAAAAAGTTACTAGGGCTGTGAATTGTCTAAATGCAGTGCCCCATGATAAGCGCTGTCTGCTATCTTTTTGTCACTGTTAATGGAAACACTGACTAGGAGGAATGCACATTTGCCTGTCTTTCCTATATGAGGGCTTTCTGGACCAGAACTGCCATATTTGTACTTCATTTATTCATATTACTAGTGAATGTTTCATTTTGCTCTTGTGCTCTCTTCCCCTGCTTTCCCCCATCAGAGATTTAGATGACAGATTGCTTACCAGGCCAGTGTCCAGTACTGTCCTGTCAACTAGAGCCTGGCCAAATCGTGCTTTTGAGCTCAGCACCTCTTCTCTGTCCTATTCTGCTCAGTCTGCTAGAAGGCGTAACCCACCACCACGTACCCTGCATCCAATCAACACCAGCTGTTCTCGCTCGGGGACTCCAAGATCCATGGATGAAGTCATCAGGGGAACACGACTGTATGTTTCTGTGCCTTTCTGGTTTAATTCCTGTGTCTTTTTGGAAACAGTCTTACAGAAACTAGTTGGTGAAGGCAAGGGAACAATCAAATAAAATGGAATTGTAAACATTACACACTGTGAGACCTAATCTGTTGCTGCCCTAAAGAGTGGGTGGACAGTAGTCGGCCCTTAAAGTTACTTGATACTCTTTTTTTTTTTTTTAGCCCCCAGAGGGGATTTTTTATTATTTTTTAATCACTACAAAAACTACAACAGAAAAAAGGGAAGGGAAACTACATATATGGGATAAAGTAAAGAACCCACTACTAACTAAAACCCCAAGAGAGGAGTTCCTCCAACTAGCTTAGGTACATCAAGTCTTTCCATCATTAATCCCTTTATAAACTGAGTCAAACATTTATAGCACTTTTTCTTTATAGCTTAGATTTAACTGTCTAATAACAGTACCACCAATCATCCCATAACAAAAGTCTCAAAGGCACAATTCAGAGTCCTTCAGCCTTTACTTCTCCTTTCCCCTTCTCTTCCGCAGCTTGTAAGGACTTTTTGGGTCTGCCGCCCCTTGCTCAGACAGAGAGTCCTCTCCGGAAGAACCAGTGTCTAGCTCGCCACTGGACTTGCTGCTCCTCTTCTTTTTTCCCGTCCTCTGGCCTTCCCAGCGGAACCCTTAGGAATTCTTGAGCTTTCAGAACAGAGTCAATCTTTTCTTTTTTGTCTTTAATCTTGAAAGTGACGCCTTCTGGAAATAGCCATTTATATCCAATTGAGTTTGTCTGAAGAAAAAGCACAAGTTCTTTGTACTTCTTTCTCTGTTGTCTTACTTCAAATGGAATATCCTTTAGTGTTCTGATGGTATTTTCCCCTGCTTTCAGGAGTGTTCCAGCAACCGCTTTCAGGATTGCATCCCTGACATGCCTCTTTGAGAATCTTACCACAATTTCCCCAGGCAGATTATTTTTCTTAATATATCCTGAATATGATCTATAGTCCACATCCATATCATTCAGCAATGATTCTGCCTTCATTTCTGTTGCTGGGGCTAGCAGTTCACTCATCACTTCTTTAAGATTCTCCCCTCTGTTCTCTGGCACGCCCTGGAAACGAAGGATCATATTTGGCCTTTTCCATTTGGACTTGCAAGAGTTGATCTTCCATGGAGATTTGTCTCCTTTCCAGCTTTTGCACTTTCTTCTTCACTCTCTGTGTAGTTGCAGCCACTTCCTTTACCTTCTCAGCATCTTGCTTCATTATTTGTATCATGTCGCTTAAAGTTACTTTATACTCTTAAGCTGTTCCCTGAAGCGGTCTAGTAAGAGACAGTCTTTCTGCATTATCATTTTACTGTACAATAAATGTGCAGATATGATGTTGCTTCTGTTGCTGGATAGGAGCAGTTTCGCAGCATTCAAAGGCCAATAGTTTCATCGCTGGGGAAAATGCAGTCTTTCTTCTCACCCCAGTAGTATTCCTACTGAAACACAAACTGTATTGGAATGTGATTGCATTTGTTTCATTGGGATCATATTATTGATCAGGTCTCTGGAGATTACCTAGAGTGAGACAACTCCCCTCCTGTCCCCTCCTTCCAAGCCCGTGCTGTTTTGAGACCTTTTAATATTGGTTTAAGCTGAGTCTCACCATGGACCTATTTAAGTGTAGGACTTCTGATGAATCTCTTTGAAAGGTGATCAGTCATCACATTGATCAGGCTGAAAGAGGAGGTTGAAAGAGACAACTCTTCACATTTTTTTATCTTTTAAAAACGTTTTAATGTTTTGCAAGCCATGTGTTCCTTCTTTCCACTTATAAGTACACTCAGTAAATCTTTCAAAAATGTAGCAAAGGCCCTGGCCTCCACCATAGATCCCATTTCCTTTCACAGATTATATGGGAAGAGAATGTTGGACCGGTGGTGCTGGACTTAGGATGCAATCCTAAACAGGTATACTCAGAAGTAAGTCCCATGTTGTGCAACAGGACTTACTCCCAGGAAAGCATGCTTAGGATTGTATCCTCCATCTAGCAATATTTTATCATTAAAAATGAAATGTTTTTCCAACAAGAAAAGCCTCTGGTGGCATGGGCGTGCTTTAGAAGCTCCAACCTTTTGTTGCCTGATTTCAAGGTTTTTTGGGGGGTGGCGGAGTTTGAAACGCTTGCAACTCTTTGTTCACAGCCCTTTTCCTTGTTATCACTTAAAAGTTTCGAGCTCTTTCTTTCCATCATGGTTTTCCCCCACTAGCATAGTAAAGTGCCAGTTATGTAGACAGGCAAGTTACGAGAGACCGGGGCTTGTAGAGAACTGTGAGTCTGGTTGGTGGTGCAAAAGCTGAAGCAGTCACACAGCTATTGTGTGTTTTCTATTCTCCAGTCTTAGGTAGTGAGTTCTGCAGTAATCAACCCTTGAGGGTATAGATCTAGAACTGTTTATGACCACTGTTGCCCACTTGGACACACAAATGAATCACCCCTAGAGCGTGCACCTCTTGCACAATCAGTGAATGAGTGCTGACAGCTAAAGAAATTGATACGGATTCTACAAGAGCTTCCCTTTGTCCACCAGCATCGAACTTATTTGAGTTGAATTTCCTACCAGTTGTTTCATCCATTTGCCAAGATGCTTAATATGTCAGGCACTTGATGTCACTGTGTGATGAGGAAACCGACAATTCGCCTTGTGTCATTAGTATCTTTCCTGCATCTGAGTTTGTACATATCATAGTTTTGATTTGAGGTGTTAAATGACTATTGAGCCTTGCTTCATTTCTCAGGGCCAGGCCTGTGGCAAGAAAAACTTGGTGCTATCTGTTAGGAATGAGGTAGACCCATGTGAGAGTAGTCTTCTTGACTCGATTGTGTAGATTAAAAAAAGCTATTGCATTTTGAGCTGAGCCACAAGGAAGCATTTTGTGTATCTAAAAGCAGCTCGGTATTGCAGTGAAAGAATTTAGATAAATCCCTAAAACAGAGTTAGTAGCAAAAGGTGCCTGTTTGCTTGGTGGAAAACAGCTGTGGTTGTTACTGACCTTAAGTGAGGCATGTTGTTCCTGAGGCTGAAAAACTGCAAGAGGATCAGGGATCAGAGATTGATACCAAGAGACAAAATTCCAGGAAAATGTTAATATTCTGCAACTTCTCAGGCCCACTGAAATGTCATCCGGGGAGGGAATTCCCCATTGAAGCCACCATCTCATCAGCTCCCAGAGAGCCATTCATCATTTCTCATCAGTATTGCATGCACAGTTTGTTTTGTTACGTGTCTTGAGCTCATACTGACTTGTCACTTCTAGTGCTAACAGACAGCTTTTAAACCATTGCTGTTTTTTTCCAGCACCACTGCGAATGAGCAGCTGTCGTCACCTTCCCCGATGCCACTGAGCCGCAATAATCTCCTGCCTCCTATTAGCTCTGTAGATGCAGTAGAGCATTTGGGAACCCAGAAGCAAATGGTAAGCCATCATTCCTGTGGCAAGAACCCAAGCTTCAGAACGGTAGTGGATCTTGAGGGAGGAAACTGCCTGGGCATTTATTTATTTATTAGATTTTTATCCCCCCCTCCCACCGAAGCGGCTCAGGGCAGCTTACAACAATTAAAACCAGTAAAGATTAATGCAGTACATCTAAAAATAGTCAATAAAACAGCCAATATAACTTATTAACAATAAAATTACAATTAGAGCATTACAGTTTGCACATGGCGGCCGTCCATATAAAGTGCTAGAGTGTTTGATCTGGGCTGTTAAACGCTTGGCGGAATAAGATCACAGGGAGAACTCTCTCCTGATTGTCCTGCCAATCAAAGAAGCTCATGTGGTGGGCACATGAGAGAGAGCCTTTATGGTGGCAGTCCCACGATTATGCAACAGCCTCCCCAGGGAGGTGTGCCTGGGCCCCCCCCCTCGCTTTCAGGCTCAAGAAGACATTTTTCTCTGGGACTGCATCTGGCCAGTTTAGTTTTTATTTATTGGCAGTAGTAACTGGAAATTGCTTTATTTATATTGTAAGCCACCTTGAATTCCGCAAGGTAAAAAGGTGGCTAATAAAGATTTGAAATAAATACAGAAATGGCTGAGGATTTGAAAATATATTTCTGGTGAGAACAGTTTCCAAAAGAAAGGAATCATAGCCGTTTATTTGAAAGCATTTTTTGAAAAAAAAATGCTGCAAATACGGAATTGAATGTTGTTGACTATTTATAGTGGCTGTGACTCACCTTAACCCTTTAAGATTATCAACCTAGAAGGCGAGGCATGTGTCATGCTGCACTGATGTCATCCTGGTCCATGGTTGGAATAAATCTCCATTCACAAACTTATGCGCTTTTTTTAGATGTGATTTTTTTTTTCTTTTGCAGAAATCCCAGGGGAATGCCAGCCGAGCTCGCAGTGCAATAGCAGATGAAATAAACCATCAACCAGTACATGAAAGATTTCTGTTGCCTGACAGCTTCTCCAGACCCAACACATCCCACGCATTTTGGGTAAGGGGTGCCAAATTACAGCCAGACACTGATAACTTGTTTTGCCATCTGCATGGAGAGGACCAAGATGAAGAGGCTGCAAAACAAAGTTTGGAAGTGTAGGAAGTTCCTTTTCTTTTCTGCAGTAAGGGAATCAACTGTAAGTACAAACCCTTTGAATGTTAGCTTATGGCTTTGGAGCAGCTGGCTGCACAGTAGGCTTTTCTAGGTCACTTTTCCCCAAATCATTCTGGGGTTTCCTGGCTGCTGCTAGATGAACAGTTGAATTCAGATCTGTTTCTATGGGCCAGATATTGTTCCCTGGGTATTTTTTACTTTATTTTTTGTTTAAGCATAATGAAACTTCTGGGGCTGTTATTTTGTAGTTTCTTTATATCATCAGACTTGAGGTGTCATCATTGCCTGCCGAAAGACTTGGTGCCCCCATGTAGAGTCCCCTCCCCCCATGGGGCTCAACAGAATGTTGTTTATTCTATGCCCCCAGCTTCTGCATGCTTGGAGGTGGCCAATGTTCCCTCTAAGCTGTGGAGTCTTGTGAGCAAAAATTCTCCTTTGTGAGCTACTGGCCTTAAAGATGTGAGCGAGCGATTTGGCTGCTGCATAAATTAGTTTGCTCTGGAGCCATCCTTCCTGAGCCAAGACAAAAATGTGTGAGCCGGAGGTGAAAAAACTGTGAGCTAGCTCACACTAACTCAGCTTAGAGGGAACACTGGAGGTGGCTCACTTTCTCTGCGCTGTACAAGAAGTTGAACTCTGGATCTCAGTCAGTTGAACAGCATAGAGAGGGAAGGCTGGGTGGGGTCCGCAGAGACCTCCCACTCCTCATAGTGTCCCAGAATACTGCTTTCTGTGCATATCCAGGTTGAAGGGAAGGACAAAACCAGTGCTCTTTTAATCTGTACATTTGCAGGTGGCAGATAGCTTCTCCCTCACATGGAAAATTGCTGTGCCTGTATTTTGATTTTGTCAAATCGTGATTGTGCTGTAACTGTTTTGCTTGCCTTTTAGCCAGACTCGCAGCATCGCCGTTCTTGCACTGTTATTGATTACGCTAGTCATCCACGGATTAATAAAGGATCTGCTGGCACAGGTAGGTGTAAAACTGGATGTGTATAGCTTGTACATTATTTCTGTATTTCAGAAAAGACTAATATGTGTAACCCCCATTGTAATAATGAAATCTTTGTTACTCTGCAGATTCTGTTAACGTAGGAGTGATGGGAGTCAGTTTAGGGATGTCTAGTTCTTCCTATATTAATTCTTTCCACCACCAGCCTCTCGGTTATTTTCTTAACGAGGATGAGGAGGACAAAGAAGATCATCCTCCACTGGGTAAGAAGTGAGAGGCAGGAAATTTGGAAACTGTACGTCCTTTATTTGGTTGCCTCCCATAAAATATGCAGCATTCTTATTGAAGTTATGTCTGCTAGCTGCCATTATGTCTGGTGTACATGGTTTTACTCACTACACCCACCTCCCCCCCCCCCCCCCCCGTGTGTCCTCTTGCTTCATTGTATTGCATGTGTAGCTTTGCTGAAACTGGCCAAGGTCGAGCAGCTGGAGGTGGGAGTCGTGATATTGCTTCGCTGTTATGGTTAGCTTGCCTGAGAACTGAACTTGTGTATAATGTAGGACCGTTATGTTCCCAAGGAATTGGGCGCGCGTTCGCTGTTCTATTCCCGCCAGAGGGAAAGGGGCTAATTGGCCCTTACCTGGTTCAAGTTCCTTTATTATGTAGTCCCAGTGTGATTGCAGTTATTCCTAACAATGTCCTTGTTCCTGATCGAACCATCACTTTGAAATAAATTTTGCTTTACTTTTAAACGTGGATTTATTTTGAATGCTTGGGGATCTAACAAGTTAGTTGGTTGGTTTGTCAGATATTTAATTCTTAAAGTTTTGTTGTCTTTCTTCCCTTCATCTGCCCTATTCAGCAGACATACCAGTGTTTGAATGAACAAACACAGAGGAGACAATCCAGGAAAATTGGTTGTCACCAGTGTTCCCTCTAAGCTGAGTTAGTGTGAGCTAGCTCACAGTTTTTTAGCCTCTGGCTCACACATTTTCGTCTCCGCTCAGGAAGGGATGGCTCCTGAGCAAACTGATTTATGCAGCAGCCAAATCGCTCGCTCACAACTTTAATGCCAGTCGCTCACAAAGTAGAATTTTTGCTCTCAAGACTCCACAGCTTAGAGTGAACATTGGTTGTCACTTGGTGTTTTCAGTAGCAATGGTCACACAGCCAAGATTTCTGGATCATGCCAGGTGGAATGCATGTACCAGTGTATTCCTGAAAATTTCCACATTTCTTCCCACAGGCATTCTAGAATGGAAACTATCTCCTATGGTTTCATGTTATGTCCCCCTTTTATCTGCTCTCATGGCAAATCCCTACACCAGTTCTTAATGGTGAGAAGAAGTAATTTGATGGGTCAGTGGGGAGAACTCCTGGAAGAGGAGCTCTTAGGAAAACAGATTTGCAGAATATGGCATACTTGTTTGTTTGGATCCTGACTATTATTTTGTGGAATTGTGTGGTAATGTGGAATTTATGTCTGACCCTACAGCTGAACAAACTCCCCGTCAACTGCGAACATGTGTGATTTAAAGATTTATATGTTGTCTTCCCTTACCCCTTTGAATCATTGTTACTCCCCTGTGTATATGAGTAACTGTAAATCGCTCAGAGCCAGCAAGCTCTGTAGGATTGAGCAATTAATAAATTGAAAGATTATTATTATTATCATTTAGTGCAGAATTTTTAATCATGAGAATATCAATTTTAAAAGAATCTGTTCTAATTATTGAGGAGAGGTGTCTCAAGGCAGAGGGTCTGAAGAGAGATTCTACTCATTCTGGGACATTATGTGTGCGTGTGGTACATCTCCTTGCCACTTTTCTGTTTATAGTCCCCGAAGAATAACACAAAAATAATCAATGCATAAGCTTTCAGTGCATCTCTCACGTGAGGGAACAATAACATTTTAAACACAATGGAAGTCTTTTAAACTTATACCCTGCCTTTATACCAGTACCTTCAAAGCAGTAAAATTACATAATCAAAACAAATTAAGGGTCTACAATAAATTTAAACAACAAAGGAAACAAATCAGCAACAAGCCTGCTGCTTCAAATGCTTTCTAAGATAGCTGGGTCAGAAAGTAGGTCACCGTGGTGAGGGAATGCTACAAAGAAGAGGGTACCACTTACTGACTAGATCCTGCCTATCAGCTAATGGCTAGCACCTGGGGGACTTCCTTAGATGATCGAAGAAGATTCATGTCTGCTGTTCACTCTGCAACTCCCTCCTGGCTGAAGCCCTCTTAAGCTTGATTAACATGTATTAAAATGCAAAATGTGGGTTTTCTTGGGGTGAAAAAGTATCATTTACTCTGTTAGAAAAATTGGTAGCTGTTTTGATCTTTAAAACTTAAGACCATCCCATAACCCCAAGAGTCTTACAAGTCCACACTTGTCTCATCCTACTTATAAGGACTCATGCCTCACACATGAGAAACCATGATTTGTCATTATGAGACCAAGCCAAATGAATTTCATACTCTTTCCAATGTCCTCTCAAAGTGGGCTTGGTAATGATGATTAGCACTCTTCAGAACCAGGAGTCCAAATTCAGCTTTACAAAGCACATCTTTCAACCCAGCAGCAATCTTTGTTTAATAGAACTTTTGCTGGTTAGAGTCCATGTCATTAACCTAAGACAGACTTTGAAGACTTATAATTGATTTATGGAAAGATCCAGCCCCTTGCTGCTTCCTTCCTTTCTTCCTGTGTTGGATTGTCCTTCTGACCCTCTCCCTCTGCACACAGTCTTATACACACAAAGCATGAGGGAAATAATAACAACTCAGGCCTAAACCAGTTTTCATTGTCCGTAGGTGCTAATCCCAAAATTTAGGAGCCAGACTCATTTTTCCAGCCTTCATGGTTATGTATTTTGATGACCATATTTTCTAATTATTGCTACCACAAACCTAATCCTTAAATTCTTCATGGTTTTCTGTAATTTTATTAAGGCTATGACAAAAGTGTTGTGGTATATAAATAAATATAGGGTGATCTGATTGTTATCACCACAACAGCTAGCTCAGCTTCTCCCCAATTTCTCATAATCCCATTATTGCTTTAAAAAGCTCCATTTAATTCAGTACTGAAGCCACTATAGAAAACAGCTGGTTAAGAAATGTGTTCATCTACCACCATTTAGTAGTATAAAGTTAAGTTTGTAAGTAAACTAACAATGACCCCTTCATGCACATTTATTTCTGTATTTTAGAACAAAGTTGCTTGATGCAAAACGTTAAATAAGTTCTAGGCTGGCTCTAGCTGGCCTTTTTGCTAAATCTTGGCTAATCATCCTCATTATATCTCCCATTCATGGCATTGGTCCATGCTGGTCCCATGATCACCATGATCACCAACATAACCTTTTTGGTGTTCAAACAGGACCTATTCCTCACTTTTTCAGCCAGTTAAAAAAGTGGCTGGATCCCTTTGTACATCCATATAACTGCTGAGACACACTACAATGAAATCATTTCTGCAAATACTTAGCACTACAGTGAGATGGGCACCTGGGATTTATCAAATACTGTCATAAAGGCTATATGGTTGAAGAAAATGAAGTAATTTGCTGCACTTGTAGAATGTTAACATCTGTGACACGCTTCCAGAAATTAGACCTATACGTCCATAGTACTTTGTTTGAAATAAAAGCATTCCACTGTAGTAAGTATGTAATGATGGGAGGGAGTTATAGTTTGCTTTGATAGTTGTATTTGGAATTGGGACAGGGCAGTGTGGTACCTAGCACTTCCTGCACAAGCACTAAAGCTTCAGAAATTATCATACGATTAAAAAAGAAACTGTAATTGTGCCTTATATATGAAGGGCTGATTCTTATATGGCAGCTTTGTGGCTGCTGCTTCCATGCTTACTACCTAAATCCCTTTAATAATGTTACACACACGTGGAAGGACTGGCAACCACTGGTACCGAGTGTATGCATACTGCTAGCGCTGCCAGCAGCCCAAGATAGAACCAGCAGCAGTAGCTCTTCCCATGCAATCGCAACAATCCCCTTCAATCCACAGCCATATCTCTGAAGTGTACGCACTGGGCTTAAAACCCAAATTCATACGTGCAGAGGTTTGTTTGCCCTGTCATCTCAAAATATGTAGTAAACACAGTTATGGAGAAAGGCACATGTAGTTGGCAAGAGAGAGGACTGAACCATATGACCATGTGTAACTTTAAATTGTAACTAACAATAAACCATGGCATAAATTTCTGTAGGCTACAGCTGACTTTACTATACATGGTTAAGTAGACTCAGAAGGATATCTTGCATACTGCAGTTGCTGCTTTCATAGCCCTATCTGTTTTTTTTGCTTACTAGGTCTTCAATTGCATGGGCCCGTGAGAACTCACAGCCGAGGTGGATCAGTCCCAAGAAGCAGACAGGGATTGTAGGGTATTATGAGAAGAAGCCATCCCTCTCCAAGACTGGGGAGCATCTACAGATGTTTTAAAAATCGGTATTCAACTGCAGCAATATCATACCTGTTTACAGAAGAAGTCTAAGACTTTCTCTATGAAGTCCCTGGGTTTTTTTGTAGAAACTGAACTGCCAAAGACTACAGGATTGCATTTAAATTTTGTACCCGTAGATCAAGCTGTGCTATTCTGTGGGACTGCTCCTGTTATAGGACTCTACCAAGCTTCTACTTTCCAATGCTGATATACTGCAGTACAAAGAATGTCTTCCTGAGGAGTCTGATTCCTGTAGCAGTAATAACATTGTACTTGTAACACCATTTAAGTTGCCAGTAATTGACACTAATAGCACTATACTTAGTAATATTTCTAGAACATGATTCCAGCAAATTCCTCATAGCAAAGTTCATATGGGGGGGGGGGGACAGGACTGCAGAAGCTGACGTCTGAAGGTGGCCAAGATTAAAATCCTTAAAGTGTTAAATTTTGGTATCACCATTCCTTAACTTCATACCTCTTAACTCACTAACTCGGTCAAAGGGGACTGAGGCAACATTGTTTACTAGAAACATACTTTCAACACCCACTTTCCCTTATTGAAATGTTTTAAACAATGCTAGAAGTTATTAAAAACTTTTGGGTAATTGTTTCTGTGCAGCAGCCATGTTCAGAGTTTTAGAATCCTCTCATTGATGAGAGACACAGTTTTCAGCAGATACACACTTTCTACATTTTGTAGGAGACAAGCTCAGTGGGGTGTATGAACTTAAAGATACTTAAGAAAAAGCATAGCCTACTATGAAACTACATTCCATGTCTGATGTAAGTTTAATGTAACTCTTAAAAAAATAGTGCTGGCTCTTACTAGTCAAAGTAAGTGCCGACTGTGAAGGTATAGAGCTATGTAAATTGAAAATAGCTTTGCATTATCTTCTAGATACCATGTAAAACTAGTAAAAGCCAGGATGGGAATAGATTATTAAATTGTAAAATGGAATAACTTTTATATGCAAATAAAGAAAATATTTTCTAAACTGCATCTGAATGTGTAATTGTAAACGAGAAAAACCACGCATGCACCATACTACTGTTTAGACTAGTGATCCTGGGTCTGGGCTTCTGAGCTTGGGGACATGGCTTTTTGGGAGCAAGTCTTTACAGAATGCATGAGTTTGTGTTGGTGACTGCAAGACCACAGGGTTCCAAAAGTGGTGATTTAAATCAAGTCACCAAGGCTGCAACCTTGTAATATGATGAAAATACTAGTTTCCTGGAGACAGACTGGCCTCAATCTAGCTCTTGTCATATAAAACGAGTGAGCCCCCAGGATGATGGATGCCTCCAGCTGCCTCAAACATTATGAAATAGATACACTGGCTGTACCTATGGAAGCAGGTTTCTGAATACCCTTTTCCTTAACCAGAGCGGTGAGATAAGCTCTAAAGTCACCCAGAGGCCATGGACTGCCTGACAAGGTCTCAAGATAGCAAGAGGAAGGTTGCAGGCTTAACTTGTAAGGGAAATTACAGCTGTTTCTATACAAATGCTAGAAGTGTCTGAGGTAAAATGGGGGAGTTGGAGTGCTTGGTGTTGGAGGGAAAAATAGACATTGTGGGTATTTCAGAAACTTGGTGGGATGAGGAAAATCAGTGGGACACGGTGATTCCCGGTTATATATTATATCGGAAGGATAGGGGGGAACGGTTGGAGGTGGGGTAGCTCTGTATGTCAGAGAGGATATAAAGTCTAGAAAGATTGAGAGGCTAAGTGAACTAGATTTGCTTCTGGAAGTTCTATGGGTTGAAATAGGGGGGGCAAAAGGAAACTTAACACTGGGAGTTTATCGCCCACCAGAACAAAAGATAGAGGAGGATTATAAAATGATGAATGCATTAAAGATAGCAGCTAGACAAAAACACTGTGTCGTAATAGGTGATTTTAACTACCC